CATACCTACATACATACATACATACATACATACATGGGTTAGGGTTAGGTTTTTTTTAGGGTTTTATGGGTTTTCTAACTATACAAAAGGTAAACCTTTATATATAGAGAAAACCGTTTACATAAAAAGCCATAAAACGGCCATAAATCGGCCCGTGGATCACACAGGAGAGACGTAACACACATTTTAAGTAAGGTAAGCTGTTTTTTATTGAAATCCTTTCACTTTTCGTGGGTTACAGAAGCGATAGGTTTTTTTTCCCACACAAATCCTTATCTTTTGAATGTTATGCAACAATGCCGATGCTCGCCGATGCTCATATTTCGAGCTTGGGCTACCTGTGGTGTACTCGGCGAATCGCTGCTGATAAAAATCTGGTACCCAGGGATATGTATTTTCTAGTCAAGAGAAAGGAATCAGAGCCGCTTTTCAGGAATAGGTTTTCTTCGGGTTAGCTAGAAAACTTCAGCTTATTCAGTAGCTCCTTGACATCTTCCTGGCCTCTTGCCTGTCATTAAGAGAAAATACGCATTCAGTCTTTTGTGAGAAGAAAGTTCTGCTTGTCAACTTTTAGTTGTTAATCGGGATGTTAATGAGAAGAAAGTTCTGCTCGTCAGCTTTTGAGAGCTTTTGGAACTTTGGAAATTGATCCGTGTTAATGACGCAATTTTCACCTCCTCCCCTCGTCTCGCGCTTCTCACAAAAAGCCGCGTTCGCCTTGCTTGGCTCAAAGCGTCTGTTATACAGGCTAGAAGACCTTCGCCAGTTAAGCCAGAGAGAAGGTGTTTAAAAAACCCCGAAGATCGTAAACAACATGTCAATCAAAATATCACTTAGAGTTTTTCGCTAATGAAAAGCTATCACGCGGCGAAGCTTAAATTAGACATATCGAAATAGGAACTCATGTCAATGAAAGCATCAGAAAGTTCTGTTGGACCTGTTGTCAACTTTTAGTTGTTAATGACAGGAAAGTTCTGCTTGTCAGCTTTTGAGAGCTTTTGAAACTTTGGAAATTGATCCGTGGTAGGCATTTTTTTTCTAATGTGGGCTGCGTGTGAGATGCTTTCAGAAATTAAGTAAAGACCCAGTAAAGCTAGTAATGACTCAATTCTCACCTACTTACTCTGATGTCAGTTATTGTCAGGGGCACCCGATGTCGGAAAATATCTGTTCCGAAGACGATTTGAGGTCTAGAATTTTCGGAACATTTGTTGTAAAATTTCCCACCCCCTTCCCCTTCCCGCTCTTTTACTTGGGCCATTTTTCGCGCGATCTTTGACTCTCGTTTCTCGTTCTTTGCTCCTACGTGCAACATAATTTGATCAACTTCTCTTGAACAACAGTTTTTTAAACGATTTACCGATTTTACACCAAAGTTCCCATATTTACCAGTAGTGCGCCAAAATCAATGGCTGCATTTCATTTCAACCCTTTATTTACGCTGTTAGGTCTGCCCTCCATCCCTCTTTTGCAATTTTCATTACAAACATTGATTCAAAGGGGAGTAGGAAGGGAGGTGGGGGTTGGGGAAAGGTAAGGGATGAAGATGAGAAACATTTTTTCTTTCAGATATTTAATCACTGATTTAATACACAGTCTGTGACTCAGGGTTTGCATTTGCTTGTTCTGTAATGTCCGTTACTTCAAATCTTATGATTCCATTATGTTTTTATTTTATTCCGCGTTCTCTTCATTTCCCGAGGCCCTAACTTTAACATCCTCTGTTAATATTTGATCACTTCTCAGGGCGTCATTGTTATCCATTCAAACCTGTATTAAATTAAGCGGACCTCTATTAAGCGGTCGGTCGCTACCAAAGTCCCAATAGTTTCCCTAAAATACTGCACCTTTATTACAGCGGTCACTTCTATTAGGCGGTCGCGGTCACCTTTTCCGAGGCCCCAACAAGTTATTTCGTATTGTCTTCACCCGTGTTAAACGGTCAACGATCACTTCGCAAGATGAACCATCGTGTAGTGCAATTCACTGTTTTTCTTTTGGTACAAGCCGGAAGGTAGAAACAGTTTAAGGCCAAAAAGGGAGCGGATAGATCTTCCGCTCTTTCACCTGATCTTCATTTTCGTATGTAGGTATTCGAACCTGTATTAAGTCAGCTGTTAAGTGGTCAGTAAGCCATTCCCCAAGGGTGACCGCTTAATACAGGTTTGACTGTAATTGCTTCAACATCATCGGCACATTGATGATTATCCTGAATAAGCTTTGCGATAGTCTCTATTTCTTCAACAGCTGAAGTTGTTTCAGCATGCAGCATTCCTTTAGCAATTACAAAATTAATTTCCTTCATATCATGTTCACTTTTCTGCAATGTTTGATTTCTTGTGTCTAATTCTTTCAAAGACTGGCGAGCCATATGTTTTCTCTTCTATGTGGTGTGTAGTTTTGCCGTCATCTAAAATTCGACTGTTTTTATCTTGTACTGGGCTCTCTATTCTTGATTGTTGGAGGCCCCAAAAACCGTGTCATTGCCATGCAGTTCTTGACAGGCTTAAAAATGGTCCGCACTTGGGTTCAATTGTTGATTCTTCGAAATGTCCTCGCTCATACGCATTTCTTGATCACCTAAGCTCTCTTCGTTTTCCATATTTTCTTCGTTCGATTAACCAGTTTCATATGTCCATTCCCTCTTTGCTTCAGCTCTCTTTTCAGATGTCTTTTTCCTTTCTCGCCTATAATGAACATGTAAGAATCTTTTTATTCAATAATTTTTCTCAAGATCTTAAAATTTGTCGTGCAATTCATTCTTTTTAAAATGTTAAGAGGCTGGCTGAGATATGAATTTTTTAAAATGACCATAATTTGCTCGGCAGGAAAAGTAATTTGCATATCTAGAGCTGCATGAAGAATAATTGTGCAAAAGTGGCACCTGAACCAGTTATGATAAATCAGAAGTACTTAGACCAATCTACTTCTTAATGCAATAAAATTTGTGGGCACTCTTCTTTGCGTGCTGTACAAAGTTCCTTTAATGTTCCAAAATTCGCCATATTCACCACAAAGCTGGAATTGTAACAGTTCACATCTGATGGACTAATTTCCACACCAATAACGTTTCTAGCTATTACCAAATTTAAATGTTGGAATTTTGAAAACATATAGAGAAAACTTGGTATTGTCCTTTTTTCAGGGTCGGCCAGGGGGGTAGTGGAATACCAAAATACCCGAAATAAACCTTCCAATATACCAAGAAATAAACTAAAACTCGTGTTAAATACCAAAATTAAGAAAACCACGGTATACTTTATATCCAAAATTAGTCGTGCGCGAACTAAGGAGTACGAGGTCTAGCTTTTAGCACTCCAACACCTGTGGTGCCAATAGCCATGTTTTGGGCTCGAGACATTCAATAGAACTCATCAGTCACTCAGTGAAAATTAATTTATCTAACATAATTTACATATACATCTTTTTTATTTTCCTATAAATTACTGCTGGTTTCAGCTGATAATGGCTGTTAAAAGAGAACTGAAAGTCAGTTGATGCAGCTACGCAGCCACCCTTCTTCTTCGTTTTTGGGCCTACTAGCCTGCTACAAACGCCCCCTCCCCTAAAAAAATCGGGGATAGAAAGATTCTTTTTTTTGAAGGGAGGGGGTGGTTGTATACAGGCTAGGGCCTATTGGACATGGCTTCTCCCTGCTCAGAGTAACGGAGGACGAGGTCCTCTGTCGAATGCAAGCTGATGCATTAAAAATTTATGCTTGTGATTGTACCAGTCATCCTATCAATCTTTGGAGACCAGTGAGTGCAGTTGTGACAGAAAGAAAAGGATCACGTCACCTTTGTCACCTAAGTCACCCTAGTCACCAAAGTCACCCAAGTCACGCTAGTCACCCCGATCGACAAAGGCAACTTAATCACCCTTGTCACTCTAGTCACCCAAGTCACGCCAGTCACCTAAGTCACCCTAGTCTTCCAAGGTTTAAACGACAATACTGAACATGGCCGGTAATCATGGTAATTGCTGTTTTATGGTTATTTTTGAAAACGTTCTGGAATATGTATTTTTTCGAAGTGAAAACTTCTCTTTTTGTCTGATCTTGAATGGACCATTTACGGTACTCATACTAAAATGTGCTGTGTATAAAACATACAGAACTTTTTATTTACTCATAACAACAAAACTGTACAGGTAATGCAATTAAAATTATTATAGCTGTTTTCCGTTTTGTGTCGAAACTAATTGATAAACATCCTTTTGATGTATCTGACTGAGATATTTGGTGCCTACACTCCTATTAAGCGTTACTTGCTAGCATACGTTTTCCCGCCCTTCAAGGTGGTTTGCGTTTTTTGGATTCTGATTGGCTTACAGGATTGTCTACGTCTGTTGTGATTGGCCAATTCAATATTCTCCTACAGTGCTTTGCGCGACGGCGACGTCGACGGCAACGAGAAGGTCACTGAAGAAGTGAATTCAAGCTGATTCAAACTTTATCGCGCTTATTCCATCTCGTTCAATTCGTCAGATGTTGGCATTTTTTTCTGGGGTTGAATTCTAAAAGTCGATATCGAAGTTCAAAAAAAGAAATAGAAAGCCGTTGTTTGGTGCTCTCCGTCTCTACAAAACGTGAAATTAGGCACTTTTACGTCGAAGTCGTGTAGTGACGGCATGAATGACGGCAAAGAAATGTGTTTTGCTAATCTTAACCTATTGCTTTTTTGACGTTCTCGCTGCCGTTTCCGTCATCTTTGCTTAACCTCCCTTGTAAAAACATCCTCCTCCATCGTGTTTAACTTAAGCAGTTTAATCGTTATTTAACGTCAGAAAGGCGCTTGTCCCTTTGTTTCCTACAAATGAATAGTTTTAACCTCAACAAAAGTATGCGAAGGGAATAAAAGGGGTTTCTGTTGCGCTTAGCTCGCGAAAATGGACCTTCAAATAAACTTGTTTCAATGCCTTTTCGACACTGAACGAAAAACTGCTCGGAAAGTGACCAAAGGATTTGAAATTCTCAGCTGCCTTTTTACATGGTGAAGCTGTCACTTGGCCTGTTCTGCTTTTTTGGCTTGTACTTCCTCTTTTGCCTGTTTGAAAAGTAGAAAGTGAATATACTATGAGTCAAAACTTAATGTTATTTTACGTGCAGTGGGTTCCAAAGGTGCAGACCATGAACCAACCCAATTTTTTTGCGAGAACTGAAATGGTTGGGCTGTAAACTTTCGATGATGGGACCTCCATTCTGAATTGGGAAATTAGGCAATAAATCTGTGTACGGGGAGGTGGCAGAGACGGGGGAACGGCTCTCACAAGGGTTCGCTCGCAACATGATCTACAGGAACGTTTCATGATCGAACGAGCACAATTGATAGCCCAGCGATACACATAAAAACAGCACTGAGTCAGTCTCCTCACATCTCCAGTCCACTTCAGGGGTGGGGTGCGAAAGGAATTGCTTGACACGTGGTATCAAGCAGGTAAAAGTAAGTAGGACCTCCGTACTTTTTCCACTAAAGGCACCAGATTTCCTTGCTTGGCCAAGACTTTCAAAAGTTCCATTATCAGAGGCAGATAGTTGTGTTTTCTTCTGATGTTTTCAACCTGTAAACGAATATAGAAGTATTTAAACTTCTATGGCAATTATGTCGCTGAAAGTGAAACTGCAATTTTCCTTTTGCTCTACCTGTATTACAATTTTCATACAAACGCCTCGTTTGATGGCCGATTAACTGATGATACAAGCACTCATCAACATCTTTTGACTACAAAAGCTAGTATGCCTAGAATGTGCAGTTAAAGTAAAGAACAACAACAGTGACCGCAACAACCAAAAAATAAGAATAGAAAAACCAACAAGTCTAGATGTCTTCTCTTTTTTTTGGTTTTTATTAACTCTGAACAGTTCGGTTTCCGTGTGAGCCCACTTTGTTGCAAACCAGATTTTGAACAGGTTGATTGTAATATTTTCTTATAGCTTTATCGCCCCTTTTCCCAGATGACGGGCGTTTTACTTTCGCCTCACCTTTTTTGCGCGACTTCCCTCCTATCTGAAAGCATGGCACAGCTTAATCAAACCCCAAAGCTTACCTTGTACCGAAGCATTTTATCATCTTCACCGGCGATGAGTGTCTGCAGACGTGAGATCTCACTGTCAATATTCTTCATAACAGATTGAAGTTCATTCTCTGATGTTACTTGATCTGTCTCCATGGCATCAGCACCCTAACAACAACATGATACAAACAAGCGAATTAGGAGAGTTTACCAAATTGATAATTATAATGGCAAGCCACTGAATAGAATACTTATATTTTCACACCTCTTTTGAAGATTGACTTTTCAATTGCTCCAGCTACAAAAACAAAAACATGGAGAGAAAATGTCATTTTGATTAAAAATATATACAAATGAAATCATTAATGGGCTGGGTTTGAAAAGTCAAGAGTAAGAAACTCAAGGCCCGCATTTCAATGCAGAAGAGAGGATTGTATATTGAAAGCTGCGCCATTTGGAAAAGAAATAGTCACAAAGCATATTGGATGAGAGTGGGGCTTTTAAACAGACTATAAAGAGAGAGCACCTATACTTGAACTCCTTTTAATTTGGATGATATCATTTCTTTTTCATTTTCGCAGGTGAAATCCCAGACTTCAACAGGCTTGTCGCATGTTGTATCCTTGTACCAGAGATCTACATTGTCTACATTATTAACAACAAAGGATCTACAATGTAGAGCGTGCAAAACAACACTTGATCTTTTGGATAAAACTTTGTGTCTGTCAGAGTACTTAACAATACATACATTGTCTAAAATCTGAGTTCTTTTCTGGTTCAGTCTATCAATATCCTTAAGGTGAATAGCCTTTCTTGATGAAACGATGGCCATAAGGTTAAAATGAATCTCCTCTGCTGAATATCTAAAAAAAAAGAGGTTTTAAATACAAGCCATTGTCAAAATAACAATAAAAACTTTATGACTGGTTTTGTTTTCTCAGAATCACCCTGTTTCCTGAAACAGAGCCAGGGAAACATTGAAATTTGAGAGAAGCAAAATTAACGCGACTTTGAAACTTTGAAAAGACTGGAAAATCCATATTATGTTGTTAAACAAGCCTCAATATCCAGATACAAATTCTCCAGTCTGGTCTCCATACACTTTGTTAAAGAATGAGTTGAGAGAATTTGATAAAAGATCAAAACTTTCCCTTTGGTGATCATTTCATTGATTCTCATAACCTCTTCTTTTGATTATGTACTGACATACCGTATTTATTCGAATAAGCGCTCAACCTCGAATTAGCGCCCACCTTGAATAAGCGCCCACCCTAAAGGCAGAAAAAGTTAATAAGCACCCAGCCTCGAATAAGCGCCCACCCCCTCCTCCTCCCAATCAAACTCAAATAAGCGCTCACCCCCACCCCACCCACTTGAGTGAATAAATTCTAATAAGAGACTTCCCCGAGGACAGAGATTTCTTGCAAAATAAACATACTTCACTTGCTGAAAATGGTGAAAATTTAATAAGCGCCCAGCCTCGAATAAGCGCCCACCTCGAATAAGCACCCACTCTCAAGGTCCAGAAATTTAATAAGCGCCCAGGGAGGTTAATCGAATAAATACGGTAGTCAGGAGAAAATTGATGTTGGTCACTCTTTGGACCTGCACACTGTATGCCATACTAGGTAAAGTTTATGATTTTGACACTATGAATTCCATTCACTGTGTGAGCTAAGTCTTGACCAGCTCTGAGGACCTCTGAAGGTTCTCTACAGCTTTCCTCCCTCAATAAAAAAATTATCACATTTCCAAATTCCAATTTAATCAGAGATTTGAGACCCACAAATTTCTCAGTCTGCAAAAAGAATCTTATCTGCCACTTTTGCAGAGTAAAGTTGTCCCTTCAATTTTACTTCCTCATTACTTTTGGACATTACTGACACAACACATGGATATACAAAGGTACCTACTTCTGCATTCTTGCTTCTATGATGGGTTTACAGACACCAAGCCAGTTTTCTGGAGTACACGGCCCTATCAAGACATAAGTAATTTAATTTGCACATGTCATAACAACTGTACCTAATAAGCATTGTTTTCTACAATGAGTGTATTTAATGGAAAGTGGTGCTGGCAATCAGGTTGACAAGTGAGGAGAAAGACTGGAAAAAAAAATGTGATTCCAAGGGTTTTTATACAAAGATGCCACAAGTGAATTTTTAACCTTTTTCAAACAAAGTTTGTGTAACTCCTGTAATTTAGTAAGAAAATGCCTGCATATCATGCTTACAATAGATACTGATACTCTGTATTTTGCATATGAAATTCTAATATGTCGGGGAGACGTGATCACAAATTTTTCACCTCTAACCCTGAACGAGCTTGTGATGCAAGAACCAGTCTGTGAGCAATAATTTAAATAGTAGACAAGTTACAATAACTTTAAAACTTAATTCATTCATATACATTCCATTGCAAATCTACTCCTAACGATAATAATTATCGTGTTTATTACCAAGATCAATAGGCCCATCTCTTAATCCATCCAGTTCATATAGCTTGCCGTGCAGTGGAACATAAGCCACAAAGTGATACACATTCTCATCTTTCTGTGGCAGTTTAGCATCAAACTCAAACATTTGCTGTCTGAAAATGTCAGTAGAAGCATGAAGTGAATAACTTCATGAAAAAAAAACAAACTTGGATAGATTTAACTACTTTTAATTACTGATGGTGAGGCATAACTCTTTTTGAAAGCTAAAAATAAATCAAACCTGGCAAAACCATTGTGCACTTGTCTGATAACATCAGAGTTACTGAGGCTCAATCCTTTTAGCTGTTGACAATAAGAGATTTAAAATTTATTGCTTTCTAATTTGCATCAAATAACTCAATCAATTTAATTTGTTCCAAATCAACGAGGCCCTCTTGGATGGGGAGGGGGGGGGGGGGTGTGGTGGTTTTGTCCCTATCTTGAATTTCTACAAATCTTTCTTTTTTGTTTGATTTAACAAATAAAATAATTATATTTTTTTTTTTGTTTAAATTAAAAAAAAAAAATGATCTTTTATATTGTCGATAAAGCAGGGGGGGGTGGTGGGGGGGGGGGGGGGGGGGGGGGGGTTTGGTATGTATGACCCTAATCTATATTTCAAAATCTGTCATTTCATATATTGAGTACAAAAACATGTCCCTGTTGGTATTTTAACTATTTTACAGTTGAACATCTGCTAACGGCCACCTCTCTACAAATGGCCACTTTTTTTGTGTCAAAGGGCAAAAAAATCCATACATTGACTCTTGTTTAAAACCTCTCTACAACTGCCACCTCTACAACGAACACTTTCTTCTGTCCCCAAGGTGGCCGTTGTAGAGAGGCTCAACTGTATTCGCACTTTTCAACTCATCTTTTTGTTGTTTGTCACCATTTTAGCTGTCTTTACTCTTATGTCACTGTTTCAAGCCATGTAAACTTATTGTTGGAATTTTACCCTAACTCGGCCTTGACAACCAGAAATTTGAGTATGGGTGTAGTGTGGAAGCTCAATATAACAAAGGGCCAAGAAACTGGCGAAATATGTTCACTATAATGAGGTTTCATTATATCAAGGTTCTCTTCCATATACAGTAAAACCCTTAATATGGTCACCAATGGGCCAAAAAAAAATTGGCCGTATTAACGGGGGACTGTATTAACAAGGGTTCTTTACAAGAAAATGTATGGCCATTATGCCAGGCAGCCAAAAAAAAGTGGCCATAATAATGAGGTGACCATATCACCGAGGTGGCCGTTAAGGCGGGGTTTCACTGTATCTGACTATTACTGGGGTAAACAAAATCATTTGTTATACCAAGGAATTTGTTATATAGAGATTCATTATAGCGAGTTTCCACTGTATCATACACTTACAGATGAATCAAATGTTGCTGAAAAATCTTTGAAACTTGATAGTGTAGGTCCTAGGTCCAAGTCTGGGTGATTGCAGTTAAGAAGTACACTCAGGATGGCTTGAGTTGCACAGGCATTGGTTATGACCTAAAAAAATTAAATAAAAAGAAAAAATGAACTGTATCTAACATGCTGTACTAAGCATTCAAATCAAGCCCCAAGGAGCATGTCAACTTGTTTGAATAAAATGAGCTGGTCTCAACTTTTGTCAAATTAATTTGCCTTATCCTACATCATGTGACAAAGCCAAGATGTATAGGTATTTCACTTATTATAAGGATGGCACCAGGATGGCTCTGAAATTCCCTTCTTAGAATTTTGATTGGGCAACATTTGGCTTAGAACTCTTTAGGTCCCAAGAGTGACCAACATCAATTTTCTCCTAAAAACATCAGCAGATCATCAAGAGTAAAGGTTATGAGAATTACTTAATTGATTACCAAGGGTATGAGAATACTTTGATCTTAAACCAAATTCTCTCAACTATTCTTAAAAGAAATGTATGGACATAAGTCTGGAGAATTTGTTTGTGGATCTTGGGGCTTAAAGGGATAATGCTTAAAAAAATGTCCAACTTGCCTGTTTGGCAAAGAATATTCCAAGAGACCTGCTCTCATGTACAATGGGTCCAGCTGGCTCTTCCCCAGGCTTCCATTTGAACAGAAATATAAGACCATGAACAGGTCTGGGAATGTGACAAGTAAAAGAGAGGCAAGAATGAATCAAAAAATGAACACAACTTAAGGCAAAACTATATTGTTGTCATACCACAAACTACATCTTTTGAGCCTGTGGCTTACAGTTCTTTGTAAGGGATTTTAGGGGGGCTTTTAAATGGAGGGGCTTGTATCTGAGCGGGCTTATAAACAGAATAGAGAAAGTGCTTCGAAACAAACTACTGGTGAAGTGCCAATTTAAAGACCATCTGCAAGTTGGCTTGCCAGCTCAGTTGGTGAGAGTGTTTCACCGGTATCGCAGAGGTCAGCGTTCGAGGCTTTCAAGTGTTCTTTTCACAACTGCATAAGTTGCATCTTCAACTGCGATCATGATCTTTTTTCCATTTATTTCTTTATTTTATCCAGCAGTTCTTATAAATTTATATGAAAGTCATATACTCTTTGTTTCATGAGTTATTTAGCTTGCAGGATTTTTTAAAACAGAATAAAGGAAACACCAGAAGAGCAGGGTGCTATTAACCTTAAATCTTCCAATGATGCTTCATCAAGACTGTAGATTTCCTCCACTTGCACACCTGAACAATCTACACAAAACAAATAAAAAATTTACCTTAAAACTTTCAGGCCTAAAATATTCCTGCAAGAAGTATGGCCAGTTGAGCCTAAATTATTATACTGTGTCCATAGCCTTTGGTTTCATCATTTGAAAAAAAATATTGTGTTTTTTAATAATTATTCTGGCATTTTAAAAGTACCTTGTAGCCTCGGGTCCCGTTCAAAGAGCTTTTAATGCTAACTAGAAATGGAAACATGTTCTCTTCTCATTACTTTACAGTCAATAATTCGGCTTACATTAAAAAAAAAAAATAAACACAAAGTGATCATGTTGATTGCAGCCCTTGACAAAAAGTGCTATTAAAATGGCTGGGATCTTAAAAATACCAGACAATTCCAAAAAAAGAAATGAAGAGATATTAGAAAATGGATTGTTTGTGTAACTACCTACCCAAATTATGCTGAGTCCCCAAGGGGAGTGGGGGGAGGGAAGAACCCTTACCCTAGCCAGACCGAGTACATCTGAACTCTGTTACCCTATATGAGACTAAACTTTCAAAATCCCTCTCTATATTAGAGTCTCTATTTTCCAAAAACTACTGTGGTGGACGCTTTCCTCGCTGTTGAAGTAAGTGGGTAAAATTCAAATTTGCCAGTTTTATTTTTTGAGTGTCAATTTCCAGTTCCCCTAGTCTAGACAAAAAAAATTCAACTAATTGATCAGTTTCCCGGAAAATGATACCCAATTTAAGACCCAAACTTGCCGATTTCTATACCCTGTCTTAGACTAAACTGCTTGAAAACCATACCTTTCACAGCCGAGCATACCTGCAGAGCCTATAATAACCCATGTGAAAGCAATGGTCACACTACAAAACTCTGCGGTATGGCCAGTACCTAATGCATGTGCACAGCCTTATCACCCGGGCAGTGGCAGCCATGGACAGCTGTTTTGCTCTTGTTGGCACTCATCAGCATGGCATAGCCCATATTTGGCAGTACCCCTCCTTCCCCAGGTGCCAAGTACCCTTCTCCCAGCCCCTACTGGGCTACTTATTTGTTACAGCTGAGCCAAAGTTCTTTTTCTATTGCCCACGTCTGATTAACACATGCTTTCCCAACCAACGAACTTGTCCAAAATTATTTTTGTTGAAATGTCCACCCATCCTTTGCTCCTCCCTTCAACCTCCTCTATCCGCTGAGTTTTAAGTGCATGCGCACACGGTGCACTTTTAAACGCAGCACGTGTACCTGTTTTTGTACTTGTTTTGGTTTCGATAATTTAAGACAACTGTTTGAATAACGAAAAATCAACCCATGCTAAATTGGTTGAATGCCCTAAAATAAAAAATTCTGGAAGTTCTTGTATGACTTGAGTAAGGAAAATCAAGCAATTAGGGCCATCTAATATTCGGTGTCTGGTGTCTATGAAACCGGATGTCGTAACTATCAAGATAGAATGGAGGGGCATTCACATCGTGCAATGCGAAGAAATTGTTCTGAATGAGTTGTGTCGCGATAAAAGCTTTTCAGAATAATAATGCCTACCAAAACCACGGATTAGTTCGGTAAAAACACCAGGATCGCTTTCAATCAAACACCATTCTCCGCCGGCCGCCATCTTGGAATTTCCCCCAGAGTTCCTTTCAGGATGAAAATCCCCTCTCTCTTTCCCAGGTTCTTTGCAAGATCCTTCAAGGAGCATGGAAACTAGAAAACAACTTTGAATTCAAGATGGCGAATCTTATGAATGAAGAAACCGATGATTAACTTGCTGATGATCTCCGCTTTCGTTGTACAAAATGAAATCGAAACATTTTGTTGTCTTGACGCTGAGCTGTAGCATTTGTACCAAAACTCTTGTTTAAGTGCTGGATTTTGTCTAGAGTGGAAGTGTGGCAACTAAACCATTTGCATGTGGCGATCACCTTTTCCGCTCAGTCCACCTGTGGCAACTACTGGAAATGGCTTCGCACCTCAGGTAGACTTACCGATGGTATAAGGAAAAAGTATTAGAAGATTTTCATCTGCGAAACTTTTCAGTGCGATGGGTCAGCGTGTACAAATCCCATCTATGAAAAAAAAAAACAGCTGATAGCTAAGGTCGAATAACTTGTACTATTTAAAAAAGAAAGTGCTTAACTATAAGCTTACGTTGAAAACAAAACAGAGAGAAAAGAGCTTGCAAACATTTTCGAGCATTTAAAGTATAAGCTTTTAAATTTCACCTCGTGGAACTTATCACCAACTTAAACTTTACAAGCTGGAGGAATTGGGGTAGTTTAGACACTGTTGAGCTATTTATGCATGTCATTCGCCCCTGTTTTTACCAAGTGGATACCAAAAAATTACTTTGAATTACAACTTTCTTTGTAGGCAAATCAACAATTTCCTTCAGGATTTCAGCAACCTTTTCCTCAAACAACTTCCTCACAATTTACAACTCCTAGACCAGGAGTTGGTCCATCTTTTCAGCCTTTTCTTCCTCCTCAAGCATCGCACAGACCATTGCAGAGCTCCATGAACAATCCACAGGTTTTATTGGGTACCAGTCAGGTTCCAGACAGATCAAGTCTGACACAGCACCTTCCACCAAGGGGATACCCATCTCCTTTGCCTCAGTCATTATCATTTAACAGCCCAATGTGGCAAATGAGGAATCCACGTCCTTCAGTACCTTCAGCTAGATTGGCACCACGACATCCTTATACTTCATCTACTGAGCCTACCACTGGGACAGTCCCTTCCCTATCCCAAGGACCATTTGTTCCATCCACTGTGCCTACCCCTGTGAGGTCTTCAACACCATTGCCAAGACAGCTTGTACCATTTCCTAGAGGGTTGGATGTGCCACTGCAACGGCCATTTTCATCACCAACTATGCCACTCCCTGTAAGGATTGGACCACTACCTCAAAGACATTCTACACCTTCTCCCGTGCCTATCCCTGAAGTTACTACAACAACAACTCCAAGACCATTCACCCCTTTGTATGGGAGGGTAACTACTCCATCCCAGAAGCCACTAACACCTTGTACTGCACCACCCCCTGTGAGGACCACTATGCCACTTCAATCACCACATGTAATATCTACTCACCCTTCTCCCATGAGGATCGCTGCACCACCCCATCAAACATTTACACCATCTCCTGTGCCATCTGTTGCTCAGAGGGTGTCTGTACCACCCCAAAGACCATTTCCACCCCCTGCTGTGCAGTCTCCTGTCTGTGTCACTACACTACCCCAGAGACCGTTAGTACCTTCTACTGTGTCATCCCCAGAAAGGGCCATAGCACCTCCCCAGCCATCATTTGTGTCATCAACTCGGCCATCTCCTCTGGGAGTAACTTCACCTCCTCAAAGACCTTTTGCTCCCTCTACTATCCCTCCACCTGGAGGTTTCCCAACACCATCTCCACAACAATTTATTGCTCCTGCTGTGCCTTCTCCAAGAAAGGTCCTGTCACCTCCACAGCAATCAGTCCTTCCACAAAAAGTGTCACCACCTTCTCCCTTCAACAGCCCACCTAATGAAAGATTTCAGCCAGTGCCTCAACAGCCATTTATAACCCCTTGTACACCTCCTCCAAGGGGAGTATTAACACCTCCCCAACAGCCATTTGTGCAGTCCCCTGTACCTGCCATAAGAGGAATGACCATCCCTGGACAGCAGCCTTCACCGGTCATTAATCAGTCATGGCCAACACAAGCTTCTCAGCTATCTTCTCCCAGTGTATTTCAGGGACCTACTTCCGCTATCCCATCTTCTTTACCCTCCCATAGTGGTGTTTCTTTCCCTATGCAGCAGTTTTCTCCTCCCAGCAATTCTCCATTTCTCACAGCAAGTTCTGGGCCTTCTGCCTTAAGTCAGGGACCTTCTATTGCAGCTGCATTGGATAGGCACATCATGGAGAAGCAGATGAGGGGTATCACAAAAGTGGGTGTGCCTAGGGAGGGTACAAATATGCAACCATCCCTTGCACCTAAACAGTCTAGTTCCACTGGTCAGACAGCAGTCAAGAGATCACCAAGTCCGAGTAATACTCAAAAGAGAGCCAGTTTTCACAAAGAAGATGTGAGAGGAAGAGAGCACAGGAGCAGAAGGTTGGTTATGGTAATTATTATTACCTTTATAAAGAAAGGAAAATGATAAGCTACAATGAATGGAAGGCCCAAGATGAGTTATTCAAATCACTGTTTTGCTTCCTAGATAAGTTAATTTTTATGTCTTTTTAGTTGCTTTGAAAATTTGGTGTTTGATCTCCCCTAACATCAAGTACATGTAAATACGTCCTGTCAATTTTTGCTTATTACTATTGTTTTTTTTTTTTTTTATTGAAAGGCATTACAGCCTTGGGTCACATGGCAGTAGACCTCGAGTTTCCCGCTGTTTTTCCCCTCCTCCTCCTGACATAGAACGTGTGGTGAAGTGTGTGGTGGTAGATGAATATTATATCAAGAAAAAGGATGACCAGGTAAAATAGTGTTTTCTAAGTGTACCTTTGTCTTAAAAATTCTCAGTCACCATGTCCTATTCTTTTCACCATGTCCCATTTTTTTCCATTTTGCTGAATAGTAAGGATCTGTTTCTTTTGGCTTTCTTAGTCAGTATTATCGTTTTGTTTTCAGGTCTTTTTTATCTTAACACTGTAAGCCCCAATAAATACAGATTCTCCAAACAGATCTCCACATATTTCTTAAACTATAAGTAGAGAGAATTTGTTAAAATATCAAAGCATTTTCCCTTTAGTGATCATCTTATAAATTCTCCTAACCATTTCTCTTGACTACAGCTGCATGTATTGATTTTGTTAGAAGAAAATTGATGTTGATCACTCTTTGGACTTAATAGACCCAATGCAAAAATGGCCACAGTAGTTCATATTCTTTTGTTAATATTCAAATCAGCCTTGCTAGCCTTGTTCTTAAGTACAATATTCAAAAGAATACCTTATCTCAAGCCAGGCTTTAATTCAAACAAAAGAGTATTAACCCAGCAGCCATTTTTGCATTGGGTCCATGGGTTAATATTTTTTACTGTAGATGGAAAGCTGTCATGTTGAAGGAACAGAGAACCTTTCTGAACTGCATAACAGATTTAAGAAGGAGATATTAAACATGGAATCCATAGGAAGAGCTGATGATGACACTGAGAGTATTAACAGTGAGAGAAGTCATCCTTCTGATCAATATAACAGTGATGTAGAATCTCTGGGTGAAAGTGATATTACTAGGAGTGGAAACCCAGTAAAGTCGAGGCTGCGACTCTTTCCAAGTGATGATGAAGAAAACAGTGATGAAGACAGTAGTGATGACGACAGCCGTGCTTTGAGTGACAGCAGTTCTGAAAGTGATAATGGCGAAGGTGGAGACCTAAGTGGTGATAATGATGATGATGATGATGAGGAGGATCATCATGTCAACAAAGGTCCAAGTGTAGCAGAGATAAGGAGGAGAAAAATTGAAGATCCCCGGCGACTTCATCCTGAACTGTGGTTCAATGAGGCTGGAGAGGTACTGTAATATTATGTGAAATTTGTTGTGGCCCATTTAAGGCTATGATTCATATTAATATTCATTTCAGTGCTGAATGAATTATTATTAATTCCAATTTTATTATTACTTTAATTCAATTCACTGGACTGCTCTTAGTATTTTAGAGGAGACCTGTCTGATCTGTCACAGTGATGGGTTTTTGACATGTTTATCGCGTTGATCGAGAACTCCACACACTGAAAAGTTTGGAGCTTAAAACTATGGCTTAAGTTCAGAATTTTCAGAATTTTTTACCTGATAGAATCCTTGTTGATGTGCTTTTTTGTGTTTGCATTTTTAAAAGCCTCTTTTAATGCCCTGACATCTTCATTAATAATATTTTAAAACCTTGATGCCATCTATGTGCTGAGACATACGGAATGCTGCCATAGCAATTTTGTAATTTCACATGTAAAATTATAAATTTATGTTGGAAGTTTGTTCCAGAATCAAGGAGTAATTTGTTTCCAGTGATATAATTATAATTTAAAATTTTTCTAATGATCTCTTTATAATTTTATTTTTGGATTGTTTGACTATTCCTTTTGTTAACCAAATAACATATTTAATTTTATAGACAAATGATGGCCCAGTCTGCCGATGTAGTTCATCTGACAAACGTCAAGGAATTCGCCATGGGGTTTACCCTGGTGAAACTGTAAGTATGCATGTAATGGGCAACCTCCACCCAAAGCTTATAGCAAAATAACGCATTGGCTTAATTGATTTATTTTTTCATCTTCTTGACATTAGGTTATCACACCATGCAACCCTATGACCAACAATGCTGACAAACTACATCACTACTGGGTGACTGTCACACCACACACTAACTTTATGGTGAGTTTCAAGATATTCAGGCCTTTGGCCAAAAATAAATGACTTGCTATCAATTAATGTGAGTGAACATTTCAATGCCAGTGTAAAAAAATACTATGATGAAGTTTACATTTCAATTCTTTACACTGATAGTATGAGTTAAGCATTTACTATAATAACTGCAGTGTACTTGTTAGTTAGATGTATTTCAATGATCTCTTGATAGCACTGTTAATAATTAAAACTGAAAATTGCAAACAAAGGCTTGATTCAAAAGTTGAAGATGAGCACTCCACTTCCTATGGTTCAGTTTCATCCTTGGTTTCAGTTTTATTTTTGTACAGTGTTTTATGTCGGACATAACCGTTGACAAGCAAACTTTTAAGGAAAGTACTTAAAATTCAACCAACTGTACAAACCATTGACAAGTGAGAACTGAACCAGTTTCTTTTTTATTTGCCCTTTATTTTCAGTTTCATTTCCTTCTCAGTTTTATACAGACGAAAAGCTTTTCTTGCAAATTCTGCGTTATAATCGAAAAGAGAGGAATGATTTTTGCAATGGCCAATCCGGTCCATGGGTGTACATAGAAATATTTTACACTTAGTGGCTCAGTAATGTATTTATGTGGAAATATTTACAAACAACTTCTTCATCCAGTATTGATCTATCCTTAATTCGTACGATATTAATGACTAGATTATTTAATTCTGTTGTCGTTGTAGACTTCAAATCCAAGTATAATCTGTTCTGAGGGAAAAAATTACACCTTTGAGGGCTTTTCCATGTTTTCTCATCACCCGCTTGAGCAGGTGAGGATTTAAAAACTAAACAAATGTAACAGGTATAATATGTTTTTCAAAACTCTTGTGCCTGCTTAAATATATAAAATATACTCCATGCCTTGATAACACTGGTAAATTTGCCGGTTTTTCAAACATTTTCGACAAACATTTTCCTTGTAAACATTTACTGTACATATAATCCTGTTACACTGTTTTTTAAGTTTGTGATTTATTTCTGATTTTTTTTTTCATTTGCTCTAAGCTTCTGTTGATTGCCCAAAATATAGAGCTACTTATGTCTAACTGTAGCTGCTATAAGAAATTAAATAATTATCAAGTACTGGATGTGGTTGAGCAAAATATTGTGATTTGTCAGTGGCGTGCAGATCAAGCCAAAAGCTGAGGCAAATGATTGAATTCTGAGACAGTTATTTGTAGGTTACATAGTGGGCTCTTGGCCACTTAAAAAGGAAAAAAAATTGCATTGAATGATAAAGACATTTATTTCAACATATTGCCAAATGGTGTTAGCTGCATTTTTTTCTACTTTATTTTCTGCAGGTACCCCTTTGTTCTGTGATACGATTCAACATTGAATACACTCTACATGTTATTAGTCAGCCAGTCCCAGAGGTGAGGGTCTATAGTTTTTGAGGAGAAAATTCTGAGAACTCTCCTTGCTATTTTAAGTTTGCACACACTAAGGTCAATATGACGACATGATTTTCACCAGTACAGCAAGCACAAGTGCAAGCCTAAGTGTTCTTTTTTATTGTTGAAAATGACTACAATCGGCACAAATCAGAAGGATCAGAATTTTTTTTTTCTTGTTCTAACTGCTCATGTGCATGTTCTTGTGCTAGTGAAATCACACTAAAATGCTTTGATTCCCTGGTGAATAAAATGTTGATTATAAAACATACATGTGTGCCTCTAGCTGTTGAGTCTGTGGACAGAATCTGTGATCATTCATTTGAAGGCCAAAATGACAATGGAGTCTGATGTACTTTTTTGTGATGCTTTCAATAGTGCTGTACGAGGTGGTTCTAACTATTAATTCCATGCGTGAAATCCTTTGCTTGTTACCTTTCTACAATGCAATATAGACCTCTTCAGCATTACTTTTACTTGTTGCTTCCATTTCCAACCATTTTAGGAAAAAAAGGAATAATATTAGTCACTAATTGGTCGCTAGTTTGTCTCTTAAGTTTGCTTGTGAGTTTTTAATATTTATTACAAAATTAATGTCATCTCTTTCAGAACTTCTGCATGAAAGATCTTGAGCTGTTTTCAGAATTTCTGTTTTACAAAGTGCTTGAACTGGCTGACTGGAACTTCACAGGTATGTTTAAACATGTTACTAGACCTAATAGAATTGGTTCAGAACTAACAACAGGATATTAGCTGCAGGCATAAAAGTCGCAGGTCAAATAGCATTGTTGTATTTTCTGTTGTGCTTTGTTTCAACCAAAATGTTTCTATTATAACAATAATAGCAGCTGAAGTTACCTTTAGTAGTAGCGATTGAGTGAAACCAAAAAAACGTGTACCTTTAAATTGGAAAAAAAAAAACCGAAACCTTTGGAAACCTTATTTTCGATCAGGTTTTGCCAGTATTACACCCGCATACCTTTTCCCGTTGCTCAGATTTTCCCTTTGCTGGTTGGGAACCAGAAAAAGGACTCTCCAACTCCTGAAGTATTTATGCATGTATTACTTGTTCAATTTAACTCGCAAGACAATTCTTCTGCAGGGAATGTACAGGATTCATGTAGACGTTACCACTTTATGCCAAGATTTGTTCATAGAACTGATGGTTAGAGCATGTTATCACTTTTATCGTTTTTGTCATTTTAATATCATTCGTTTCTAAAATGTCTAGAAAGCAGTAGTGTTATAAAAAGCATGAGTTTAATTTTTGTGAACAGTTTGTCAAACAGGTAGAGCCTTTAGCTTTGTTTTACAACTGTCTCCCACTTTGTTTTTCGACAGGAGACAAATATGTTAGGTACAAGGCGGATTCGTTAGTTGTGGAAACACAGTGTATCAAATAATTATAATGAAGCAAAAATTAGACATAATAAAGTTGCATCCCTCTTGAAAATAATCGGATTTTTTCAGTCGTTCCAAAACTCTTTATCACAATGAAGTTGCTTGGGCAAATTCTTCAGACAAGTCCTCATTTACCTGCTTCAAACCACAGATCTTTTAAAGTAGATATTAAGGGTTGCCTAAAGCATTGCCAACTTTTTAATTCTTTGCATTCATAATTTTCATGACACTGTTTTTTTCCTTTGTTCAGACACAGATGATTCCAAGGCCTGCCACGAGCTTCTCTCAATGAGCCAAGTGTTGTCTCATGTTCTGAGTTCAGCTGAACCTCTCATAAAGGTAATTATGTTCAAAAGTGAATGCCAGAAAGGCTTATGTTTGTCTTCCTATCTTAGCGAGGATTCTTCTGTAAGAAGTTGAATTCTTCATGGAGTTTATCTAACTAAATAGGATTCACTTTCACCGCTTTTTTGCTCTTTTTGTGTCTGGCAGCCAAGTCATTTCGAGCTCAGCGCTGAGAAATGGGAAGAGTACAACAAATCCTGCAAAAATACAATTGTCCTGAACCCAGACAAGGTGAGGTGCAAGTTTCTTAATCGTTCAGGAGGCAAACATTTTATTGTCATTCCTCTACGGATAAAACAGTCTCTTTCACTGTGCCTCTGTCTTTAATAAAAGTTCCTGCCACTTGTTTATTTCTGATATAATTTCCTCTTATTCTGACAACAGAAGCCAGCTGCTATAAGAGTTGATAACTTACAGTTTTGCAAGACAACCAAAGGCTTGTCGAAAGGCAAGGTGAGATGGTTTTGGTTGTGTGTGAGTGTAATGGAATTGGTTATTCAGAGAAAGACTCTTCTCTCAAGACTGTGTCGTTACCATTAAGTTGTAAATTCTCTGTTGTTACCAAATGTACATTCGTCTTGATTGTAAAAATAATATTGCTGCTTATGATGCTGATCACAACTCAAAACTGAAGAAGCTTATAGACCTTGCTATTCCTAAATGTTTTTCAATTGCTGACGTTCTTCCGAAAGACATGTGGAACTTCTTGACGTAGATCACTTGAAATGTGGACTAAAAAGCCAGGACAGTTTTAGATGTTACGGTTGCCCATTAAGTTCGGTAATGTCATATTTCATTTCACTTTATCAGATGTACCCGTATATTGTCCATCACAGTATTAGGCCAGTGCAGATGAGTTTTGCAGGAGATCCCAAGTAAGTTCTTTTTCATTTGTTTTTCCTATCGACAATGGCGACATTTTCATTTGCCTCCGTGTTGTCGTATCTTAAGGTCCCCGACGACTCCAGATCTTAACAGGAGTGCCTTGTTAACCATCTTTTAACCAACTTAATTGCTTCACTATAGTTCCTTTCATTGCTTTTTTAAGCTTTTGACATTGGACCGTTTACCGAGAATCCGTCAACTCCACTGCAGAGCACTTCTTAAAATCAGTAAAGTTGCCAAGTTTTAGAGTGATTTGTTGAAGACTAGGCCGTCAAGCCGCCAATTTGTCCCGACGTTTGTATGGTGAGAGCAGGTTTGCGCCTCCATACAAACGGGCATTAGCGTCTGTAGAATTTCACGAGTTTGCAAAGCTATATCTTCGCTTGCAGCACTTTCAAACTTAGCAAGTGTACTTATGTTAAGGCGCTTTTTCCAGCGATGTTGGTCTATATTCCCAATTGTCCATGTCAAAAGATGAAAAAAGTGTTAAAGGGTCTATTTAGTACCCGCTATACTGCTTTCAACTCGCACCACAAACCTTGAAAGGGTCTATTTAGTACCAGCTATACTGCTTTCAACTCGCACCACAAACCTTGAAAGGGTCTATTTAGTACCAGCTATACTGCTTTCAACTCGCACCACAAACCTTGAAAGGGTCTATTTAGTACCCGCTATACTACTTGCATCTCAGAACAAAAACCGTGAAAGGTTCCACTTAGGACCCGTCATACTACTTAAATCATGGACCAGTTCTTTTGTTAGCATTTCGTTATTATTAGCTAGTTTTTAGAAGTCTTTCGTACAACTAGCCAGCAAAAGTGCAATAAGCAATATATAGAGAAGAAAAGGAACATCTTTACGAGAGGAATCGTACCTGCCAAAAAAAAAAAGAAAAGATTTCAAGTAGGCAGGAGAGTCCAAATGAAAGAAATATGGATAGTCTATGTACAAGATACATGCGAGCTACAATGGAAATAATAGTGCTTTACATCAAAGCACATTCCACTGATCGAATTCTTATATAGACCATTTGCACGATGGCTTCATTTTACTAATACTAGTTGTGCAAATTAGGCCTTTTGTTGTTTTTAACCTGGCTGGGATTTCCAAATTTATATATGAAGGGAAAAACCAAATGAATTCTGTTAGTAGTAGTGAAATGACGCCATCGTGCAAATGGCCTGGATCTCTTATGCAAACGTCAGCTCGCCAATCGCTATCTACGAGGCAGTATCCCTACCACAGTGCTATAGTTACCATGACAATGTATTGTAAGAAACTAGTTTTTCTTTTAATCACTCACATTTTGGTAATTTTTTTTTTTCAGGTATCAAAAGTTACTTAGGACTCACAACAAGTTAAGAAGCCTCATCTCCAACACGTAAGCAAATTTCCTTGATTGTTACATGAACTGGCAGTTACATGCGAAAATAATATTGTGTGATTTCTTAAACTTTATGTTATTTCTTTTCAGGCCAATACCGACTCGTAAGAATCAAGATAAGCTTGTTAAATTAAAGGTAATTGTAAAATGTTATTAACTTATATCATTTAATTCCGTTAACTTCCGAAAAAGATATTGATAATACTTCATCCCCAGGATCAAAAGTTAAAACTGCATACTAAATAAACAGTACCGTAAGAAAGTACTGCTGAAGAGGTTTCATTTTAATGGTCACACCACAGGGTTTCATACACAAACTCAAAAGTTAGCTCTTCGTACTAAACAATCAATAGTATATGAAGGAACTGCTCAGTATCTTTCATTTGAATGGCCACCGGTACGTAAGGATTTTATCCACAACCTTAAAAGGAGCCTGAGAAAACACCCGATATTCCACGACGCCACCACTGGTCTCCCCGCGAGGGAACGCAAAGTGACCTCTGAGGAACGAGCGCAGAAATTCTATACTGATGACGTGTCACTACTCAGATTTAGGTAGTGCTTCTGATTGGTCATGCCGCGAGGGAAATTTGCTTCAGCCAATCAGAAGCGTTACAGAGATCTGAGTAGTGACACGTCATCAGTATGGAATTTTTGCGCTTGTTCCTCAGACGTCATTTTGGCGGGAAAACCAACTGTGGCGTCTCAAAATGTCGGCTGTTCTTACAATAACCTACACGTTCACACAATAATTTACTCTAGCCTGAGGGTCTTAACTGCGAACTGATCACCGCCATTTGTGCTTAACTTTCAGATTGAGCTAGAGAACATGCGCCTAACAAGGTAAAGATAAGCTCAGTGATAACGAATTATTTTTTGGCGAGAGTCAGACGATATTTTTGTCAGTCGTTTTTCATTTCTTTCGGCCTCTAAGTTAAACTGTTTTCCTTTAGGAAGTCTTTAAGAGTCTGCTTTTGTTTCAGCGCAATGCGCCGTGATGTAGTTGTAGAGGTGAGCAGCAGAGGCATGGTCAAAACAGGATTAAAATCTGATATCTGTCAGGTGAGTTGATTGCTCTGATATATATTAATTTTCAGGTGACGCCTCAAGGGAACAACTGAAAGTACATCTCACTGGGTGATTCTGTGTATTTTGGGTTACCCCGATTTTCTCTTTTTATTTCAATATTCCCATCCAAGCTCTCCTTCGTGCCTCTCACAACCAACGTTAACTACATTTGTAGGGAATGGTGGCTTTAAAAGCTGTAATAACGTGTGACCGGAACATATTTTCGTTAGACCTATTGATATGAGAAACGCGTTGTTCTTGACGCACGCGGGCGAGTCCAACAGTAGTGATCACAGGACTGATAATCAGTAACAATCATCTCATATCCAACAAGCGCGAGTGGAATAATTGTTTTATTAAAAACGCCCACAAAATATCGAGATTTTTTCCGACTTTATTTGTAAAAACAATCGATTTTCAGCTTGTTTTTAATTTTAAGCAGACGCGTACAATTACCATATTTGGAGAGCATGGTATAATGGCTCATATACTAAGATGGCTAAGCCAATCAGAGCACTAGAATTGCATTATCCAATGATTCAGTTTTTGGTAATTCCCATTGTTCTCTCAATCTTCTAGCACGCTCTCCTGCTTCCTGTGCTAGTTCATCATGTTCGCTACCACGTGAGTCTTCATTCACTGGATGAGAAAATGGGTTACGTGTTCAAAGATCGCGCCTTACTTCAGGTAAAATACAAGTTCAGTGACCTACCTGGTTACCAGGGCCTCTTCTTCCTGTCACCTGGAGCGAGAGACTGGGGCGGGCGGACGCGAAAAAGAGGGGCCCTGGGAACAAGGTTGGCAGATGAGCTCTGACTGGTGCATTTTCTTCTGTACGTATTCTTTAATTAACTAAAAGAAAAACGACAAAGGCTTACGAGCAACATACCTTGCTGTTTCTTAAATGGAATTAGGCTAAAGGACAGAAACCAAGAAAACAATAAATACGAGTTTGCAACAGAGTTGACGTAATGTGTTGAGCATTCGTAAATAGATAAAGAACATGGCAAAAAGTCGTCTTTTTCGGATAGAATAAATCAATTGTACGAAAAAGATTCAGCGTCCACCGGACAGTAGGTAGATTTCTTTAGCAAACAATTCTATACAGATATTTCATCCTGTTTGATTTACTTTTTGTTGGAATGAAAAGCACCCCAGGAACAAAAAACACCAAACCCATGTTCTTTTCCTTGAAGTTATCTAATGAAATGAGCTGTATTTTGGTTCTTGTTTAACAGCTCGCGTTGACGCATCCTTCGTATCACCTTAATTTTGGTATGAATCCAGACCACGCGCGAAACTCTCTTTCAAACTGTGGTGTAAAGCAACCTCGATATGGAGACAGGAAAATACGACGTCTACACACGCGCAAAAAAGGTATGGCATGAGAATTTACCATGACCAATGCAGCCTCAATACTTTAGCACTCCCCAAATTACACAGTGCGCGCGCGTGAAGCAGCGTCGTTTTGGCGGGAAAACGCGATAGCCGTCATCATTACACTACGGGTTTTAGCGCGGATGTCGTCATATTTAATGACGAAAACAAGATATCAAATGTTAGAAGATAATCATTTTGCGATCGGGAGAGGGTTAAAACATCCTTCAATAAGAATAACCCTATTATCTTTTCTGGTTAATAAAATAACTATAATGAAGCTTTCTGGCATGTCTATTTTTTGAACATACGCGAAGTCTCGTTTTCCAATCTAAAGATCTCTAATGGATTGTCTTTGAATGCTCGAGGAAGTTAAAACGAATTCTGCTTTTTTTGTGTGTGTGCTTAGGCATCACGCAGCTTATCCGAGTAATGTCCAATCTGGGAAAAATGGAGGAACATCAGTCAATGTAAGTTTATCCTAACTGTTTTCCCCAGGCCATAAATAAGTCTATTTAACAACTGCTTAGCGATAGGTTTTAAAAACGACGTTTACCGTGTGGATGGAATAACCCATATGCATGATGACGTCAAACTTGCTTATTCACCACCAAACCTCGTTGCGAAAAAATTCTTTGCATTTTCACCGTTTGTGCGTGAATATTCTTTTCAATTTAAATACACTGGGAATTCATTGTTGTCAAATTTCAAAACGTTTGAATTCCAAACTTAGAGGTAAAATTTGTACGTCTGAATTAAACGCGCACAAGGCTACAGCCTTTTTTTACCAGGAAAGAAAATGAAAACGATAGCCTCAGAGGCAAGTGGCTGTGGCTTGTGGGTGACTTTTCAAAGCGGGTTAATGCTATTTTCCTAAGCAGTATAGTATAGTAACTTTACTCTGAAGAAAGAAGCGATTCACCCAAAGATTTACCCAGTTTCAAAAGCAAAAAAGAAAGAACTCAATGAATGATATGTGCTTAAGTCGGTTCATTTATCGTTACAGTCCTCTTACCGTATTACAATCTTGTGGTCGTCACTAACTATACCTAACTAACCTTGCTAACCTCTAGTTTTGTGGATGATTCTGGCACTCTCGCTAATTCCAAACGTCGTACAGCTAAAAGGAAACTAACCAGAGGCGAGTCACGAAATATGCTAGACAGGTAGTGTAGTCAGAAAGACAGTGATTTATAGATAGATAGACAGACAGATTGACAGTCAGACAGAAAAGCATAGAGACAGACAGAAAGATTGGCCTTAGCAAGTGATGACATCATATCGTCTGTCCTTCTGTTCAGAATGACAGCAGAAAGGTGGAATAACCAGCGTTAAGAAAACATGCCAAACTTTAAGTTTAAATGTGTTAAGATATTTTGTTGGTGTTGCCGATGGTGTAACTGCCAAAGGACCTCATACACAAGATTGAAAAGACAAGGAGCAATATTCACATTACCACATAATACCTTACCTACAACAGTTTCCGCGACACCAATGACATGACATGACACCACAAATATACAGAAGACATAGTTGATTTGGATTCAGAGGGCAAACTCAGTGTTGTTTTGTAGAAAACAGTCTTAATTTTGACACAGGTACTTAAGACAGTAAACATATGACAAGTTTGAATGTTTTTCCTTAAAAAGCACTTTTTTTGTGGTTCTACTTAGGATTCGACATAATGAAAGGCTTGAATTCCTGGGAGATGCCGTTTTGGAGTTGATATGCAGGTGAGTAACGGGACCAATGAGTCATTCATTTTCAATAAGCCATTTCATCGTATTCATTCTTTTTTTTCTCTCGGCGTTGTCTGTTTATGTGACATGTTGTGCAAAATACTCGTACCATACTGATCGTCCAGCCACTGCTTGCGTTTCAGATCCTTGTAGTTAAACTTTTAAACAGACGTCATTGATTTATCCAATTTTATTTTCCCTTTGTTGGCATCTTGTTCCTGTTGTAGTATTCACTTGTATTTCATGCTGCCGTCCAAACCCGAAGGTTATCTGGCCATGTACCGTTCTTCTTTGGTGCAGAACAAACATCTTGCTCAACTAGCTAAGGTAATTACGCAAGGTATAAATTGCTCCACCTTTGTAAATTTTTTTGTAAACGCAATAATTTGAGGTGTTTTAAATTCTCCAGAAATTAGGATTATCAGATTACATGCAGTACTCCCACGGGTAAGTACCCTCTTTGAGGATTGCTGTAAATCTTGGTTTCCCTGTGTTTCCTTGGAGTATCCTCAGTGAATAGAAGGAAATGTTATTCTTACAGACCTGACCTGTGTTTGGAAGAAGATCTCAGCCATGCCATGGCTAACTGTTTTGAGGCTCTACTTGGTAAGTTTATAAGAGGCATTACACTTGGAAGTTGGAAGTTTAGTTAGATTTTATGTATGTGAATTCAACTTGGGCTAAAACTCGGAACCAATCCTAACCCGTTAAAACAATGAAAGTAAAGGCTTTTTGGGCTTAGCGTCGATAAAATTACAGCTCTTTAAAGTCTGGTTGCTTCTCAAGTGATTGATATTCTGTTTTCAAACAAATTCAAACAGATAATCAAATGAGTTCAGCATCTGGTCTTTATTATTGGTAAAACAATAGGAAAAAAGATAAAACGAAACATAGCTCTCGGGGTTTACAGCCTTAAATTGAACGACGTCGATTAATTTTAAAAGGCTTCGTTTAATCTTTTTGCAAAAGAAAGAGAATCAAATCTACAAGCAGAAAAACTCTTATGAAATTTCTTTCTCTGAATTTCTATTTCTTAGGTGCCATGTACTTGGAAAGTGGCCTAAAATCCGCCACGCAATTTTTCACTAAACTGGCATTCGATGAAGAGGTTTGTTTGCATGATAACTTGCTGATCTTTTTTTGCTTGTTCTCCCTTTGGTTTCTGCATATCACTCTTGACGACGTTTCCGAGCTCTAAACATTGGTTGTATGTTAGTAGTACAGAAGGGACCGGAATAAGTCTCTTTATGGATTCTCATTAATAAGTGCGCGTTTATGAAGGCGCAAACGAATTGTGGGTAACCTACCGACAATACGACAGTGACAGGCGTAGTGAGAATTTTTCTCTGCTACCACCGTCGCTACCACAGTTCTATTGTTCCACCACCGAAACTAATAGACAGTAAAAGCGGCAAGAAATAAAAGGTCAATAATTATGCTGTTTTCGTGGGAATTTTGTTCCCGAAACAGAATGACGCCATCAAAGTTAACGCTTTTCCTAACATGCTTATAACAACATACAGCGTACTCATGTCTTTCCGCACTTGCAAATTTCCCCCTTCGATTTCCGTCATTATATTTTATGAAACTCGCTTAGAAAAGATCCTAAATGACTTTCCAATTGGATAAAAGCTAACTTGGCTTGAAATTTCTGTTTTAGGAACTAAGAGAAGTTTGGACCAATCTGCCCAAACATCCTTTGCAGGTAAGTATTAGTAATTAAGATTTTCTTATATTTAAACATCCTCGATATTTTTACGATCCTAAGAGAAGTTTCAGCCGAGACGTACCTCTTTGATTGCGGGAAAACCGAACCCGAGATACAAAAGATGGCCTTCTTAGAAATATTTTAAATAGTTACTGCCTCCTTTAACGCATTTTGGCACATTTGCACAAGAATGAAGTATTGGAAAATCAGAACAGAAAGGGAGGAGAATGGTGAAAATAAGTTTACCTTTGTGCCAGATTGGTATAAGGTAACGAGGGCTTCACTCGTTCAGGCCTTGTGATAATGGCGAGAAGAGGGAACATCTAGATCTTGTAATAATGGCCAAGGGGCAAAGGGGGGGGAGGGGGGGGGGCTCATCTAGGCCCTGTGATAATGACTGGAGGAGTCGTCCAGACCTTGTGATGATGGCCAAGGGACTCATCTAGGCCTTGTGATAATACCGGGGCGGGGTCATCCAGACCTTCTGATCATGGCCTTTTCATAATAGGAGGACCGGGCTCTTCTCCTAGATTTGACACTGTATCTGAAGATTCTGCCTTGCGTGTCCGCCTGAGAGAAAATAACAGCTATTGTTTGAAGATGAATCCAGTGTGTACCTTGTATTTTTTTTTGTAGGCCCAGATGCCAGATGGTGACAGGCACCTAATAGCATCATCCCAACTTCTTCAGGTTTTTCTTCTCAGTTTCTTTACGTTTACGTTTCCTTTTTCTTTCGTTAAAAAAACTGACGATTTAGAGCTGACTCACAGGATTTTTTTTTTACTTTCTGCACATCAGAAATTACAGGAGTTCGAAGAAGCCAGCGGAATCGAATTCACCCACATTCGCTTGTTAGCGCGTGCCTTTACTCACGCACAAGTTGGCTTTAATAACCTCACGCTGTAAGTACAACTGATTACAATTTCCTTTAGTAGCTGATGTCATTGCGCAAGGTCCCCTGTGAGTGGTACCTTTCTCCATCATAGTCCTGATCTTCTTCTCCTTCTTCTAATGAAGAGGAAATCTGTAAATTTACACATAACATGATCATGAGTTGCGAGCTGGCAAATGCCTTAAGTTACTTCAAGTTCCCTGAGGTACCAGGAATACGCTATTTCCAAACAAAATTGAGTTGTTACTCAGCAGTGCGTGAAAAACAGAAGGCTGGAATTCCACCTTCTCCTTTAGAGCAGCATTTCGCACATTTTGTTCGCCCAGTTAGTCACATGTTTGTCTTAGTTTGAGATTTGGTTTGAAAACGACTTGCCCGGACACTTACTAATACTTACTCCGGGGGAAAGTCAACGTGTCCAGGACGACTGTTTATCAGAGAGCTAGTATCTGTTTGTCTGGAAGGAGCGTTGCTTGTCGAATCAGACAGATACTGCTGCGTAGAAAACTTCCATCTTTTTTGTGGCTGAGTTTTGAGACCTTTTTCGTTACGTGAGACACAAAGCATTTTTCGTCCATGGTTAGGTTAACTCTTTAAAAGGAGTGGTTATCAGACATATTGAAATTATGTTCTCTTTATATTTTTGTTAGCGGAAGTAACCAACGAATGGAATTTTTGGGAGACTCCGTTCTGCAATTCGTTGTGTCGGTATATCTCTTCAGGCATTTTCCAGACCACCACGAGGGGCATCTAACGGTATAGAGTGCTGTTGTTACAATTTCTTACAAGTTGAAACAAAAGAATTCAAATTTTGTTTCGTAAAATCCTTAGAAATATATAAATGATAAATATTTTGTACCTCGCGTAATCACGTGAGTGATCACGCAGTGAAATCACTTCCCCACTCCCCTTTCCAATCGAACGCATTTCGAATTTTAAATTACCAGGAGTAAAATAAATACATCTTAGCTTTCAACTAGCATTACAAAACTGGCAACACTGTACTTTTTATTCTACACAAGATTGCGTGAGCCTTGATGTATAATTATTCTATTAAGTCCAATTGGTCGTTAAGACGTACAGGAAAGTACCTGATATGTTATACACAAGTTATACAATCTATATCAATTTAGAAGTGATTATCGATAGTTATCGATTTATCGATTGGTTTTCCGATATCGGTTTTTATTGATTGGATACTTTCTACTCTTTTTTGACAGCTTCTGCGCAGTTCTCTTGTAAATCATCGAATCCAAGCGAAGCTCGCTCGAGAACTTGGACTAGATAAACTGATCAATTTTGGATCCAAGGTATGTATCACGTGCAAGGCACGTGACCCTTGTGTCTTACTCGATTTGTTGACCACACATTGTTCTTCAGGGGAGTCTTCCGTATTATAAGGGGTACGAACAGTCCTCGTAAAGTTTGCAAAGAACTTTCTGTTGAACGGTAAGCACACCCAGAACAAAAATGTTGCCTTTTGATGGTGCTAATAATTCAATTTGAATTTCCCAATGCGTCGACGCAAGATTGGTTCGTAGGTTATTAATGTATGCCAGATTTTGTTTGTAAACTCCTGTTCTCATGTTTGCGGTACATTTGCAGGTAGGAATGAAGGCTTTCCGCGAGAAAATTCTCGCTGACACACTGGAAGGTAAGTTAAGTGGTTTTTTTAATTGCCTTTAAAGACGGTGTTGTGTTATTTAATTTTATTTAAAATTAATCTTAATCTTACTTTCTCTCCTAAAGCTTTTGTGGCTGCTTTGTACGTCGACAAAGGCCTTAGACATGTGGAGGTATTTTGTCGCGTTTGTCTCTTCCCTCGCCTTGAGGTAAAAACTACTTTTGATAATTTAACTCCTACATTCCTTCCAACTGAACTAAGTCATCCACTGGTCATGTACACAGCCGATTTTTGTATGTGTGTCATAACGCAACGCTCCTCCCCACAGGAAGGGCGTTGCGTGACGACACAAAGAGACTACTTACCCACGGGTCCTTCTACGTTTGCGTTGGTGTCTCTTTTGGTCACCTTGTTCTCCAACCTCGTTCCCAGGATCCTCGACGCGATTAGCAAAAATGCGTTAATTGCCACGGCAACTTAAATGTATAACAGGTGACCTACAATAACTTATGTTACTGGGCTTTAAGAGGGTGCTTGAGACTCCACGACATTACTCTAAACCTAGTCCGTGGGTTCTTCTCGTTCTTCAATATGGCGGTGGAAGTTATCTCTACATACCGTAAAATACAGGAATAGCTCCGAGCCCTTTTGAAGTTATCCGCTGACCAATCCACGTCCGATAAATGCATGCTTAATCCTCCCTCGTCTTCTAACATGGCCTTCATTTACCTTCATCCACCTTTGTTTACCTCCATTTGCCTTCATTCACCTTCACCCACAATCATCTACCTTCACCTTCATCCACCTTCATTAGCCTTCATTTACCTTCATTGATCTTCATTAGCCTTCCTTTGCCTTTATCTACCTCCTTTATTTACCTGCCTTCGTTAACCTTCATTCATTTTCATCTACCTCCATTAGCCTATTTTACCTTCATTCACCTCCACTAGCCTTCCCTCATCTTTTTTCACCGTCACCTACCTCCTCTAGCCTTCATTTACCTTCACGGACCTTCACCAGGCTCAAAATTCACCGTCATATCTCTTTTATTGTGCATAAGCACTCATCAACGTTCTTGTCCTATCATGTCACATGAACCTAGTTTAGTGGCCTTTAGTTCCCCAAACTGAGTCTCCTTTAGCTTAGTGCTAGAGAATATGTAGAGTAACCAGAAGGTCATAGGTGGGGAGTACTCGGATCGTTTTCTTCCGAGCTGCCTGTGTTACTAAATGAAAAGTCATCCTTCTCAAGTGTTCACCAGGCTTCAAATTCACCATCACATCTCTATCATTAAATGTGTTTTAACTTCGTGTTTTTACCCATAGGAGTTCATTATTAACCAGGACTGGATGGACGCGAAGTCGCAATTACAGCAGTGTTGTCTAACTTCCCGCGAGCAGGGAAAAGCACCAGATCTTCCACAATACAAGTGAGTCCAAGACAAAACTGCTCCAGTGATTCGTCTCCCTTCTAGGGCCGAACTCCTGGGACAGGTTGACACTTGGTGTCAATTGGTATCTCCTGAAGATTGTTGGACACACGTTTTTCATGTTGTTAATGTAATGCAATTATGATATCTCTGTAGGGTTCTACAAAATAAAGGTCCTGCCCACCACAAGTACTATGCAGGTAAAGTATTGCTCAAAATGGTAGGGCTATCAGAGCTTTTTCTCGCGCTTATATTAGTGAAAAACGCGTGTCGCTATAAAGACTAGACTGAAAGCGGAGATAGCGCATGAAAAGTCACTGAAACCCAGGGTAGGCTCATTAATAGCTGAAGCAGTGAATAGGCTATTTCCGAATTCAAAATGTTATCGTTTCAAAAATAAGACCAAATGCGAAATCATTAATGTGAAAATGAGTTATATTTGCACGAGGGTTAAAACTATGATTTTATTTTATGTGTCAAAGACTTTGCCCGCCTCGGTTTCGTTTCGAGAAAGAGGAAATGGCAATTCTCTTCTTTATTACGACAGAAATCTAGAGACGCTAAATAGCCTTTGTAACCTGCATTATGGCGGACTAAATTGAAAACGTTCCTTGCTGTAATTGGGCCTTCATTTTTAGCTTTGCTCTTTCTCTAGTGTTTCCACCCTCAAAAGTCACATTGTAACTAAATGCTTTTAGTGTTTCTTATTCTATTCTCTCTCTCTCTAACAGTTGCTGTTTATTACAAGGACACAAGACTGGGCTCTGGCGAAGGAAATAGGTGAGCGTCATGGCCGCGCAGAGCGGCGCTAGCCTGCGCCACTTACGGAACTGGGCCCCCACCGGTGTAGCAGGATTTAAGTACTCGCCATGAGTGGCCTGTTAAAAAAGCCATAGTCGATTTGCCAATCAGAATGAAAGGAAATTCGAAACGTATTTCCGGTAATTCGTTGAGTCCGTTGGGGGCCCAGAACAAGGATATCGGTGCTGCAGGGTCTCGTTTCTCTAAAGTTCCGATAACTAAAGGGCCCGTAAAGCTGATGCTGTTTACATGCAATATAGAGGTTTCAATAGTTTTGCATCTAACTATCAGTTAATGAAACAAATGGAGTAGTTTTCTAGCCAGGACCCGCGCTCGTATTCTTTCTATTTCGATTTGAATATTTGATTTCGGACCCGAAAAATTACCGGGACTTTCGAGAAACGGGCCCCTGCTCCGCAGACGTTACTAACCGAGATTAAAATTGCGTCTGCGAGGCAGGCTACGCAGGCGATGTTCGCCATGAAAAGGGGTTCTCCTCAAAGAAATAGTCAGAGACTGAAGTTGTCGATAATTTTTACCTTCTTCAAACTCAAATATCCTTCATTTTCTTCCTGCAGCATCCAACAGGCAGAAATGGCAGCAGCCAAAGACGCGCTGGCCTCTCGTAAGTGATAAAAAACTTTTAGCAGAAAAGAAGTGTCCGTCGTTTACCTTATGGAATCCAGTACAGGAAATCCGGAATCCAAAGCGTGAAATCCAGAATCCAAGACTGTCTTGGATTACCTTACTTGGAGAAACCCTAGCCTGCGTAGCATGGCGGTTTTGTCGGGCGCACGACTGAGCGGCGAAGCCGCGAGAAAAATAAAAACCGCCTGCCCGGATTGGTGACCTTTTCAACTGCCACCCCCTTCAACTCAATCTCAATCGCGGTTTCTCTGTCCTCGCTCGCCTTTACTACTATGCGCACCCAGCCAAGACCGTCATGCTACGCGGGCTAGGGAAACCCCAGCCAGACTTGTGATAATTAGTTTTGTCTCTCATACAAAGTAGAGGAGTCGTTAACAATTGCTCTTTGAACATCATTTATTTAGTGGGAGGACACACCATACAAACAATGCCTTGTAACCAAGTTTTTTCTAATCATCAAATTGTAAACAAAATGAATCGAACTAAATTTGTTTTTTAGGCTTTCAATATCGCACCAATCCTGCATGCGTTATCTTAAAACAGCTATGAACAACTCGGTCAGTTTTGTTCGCAAGTTAATAATAATAATAATAACACTTATATAGCGCTTATCCGCATGCGTTCTAAGCGCTTCTAAGCGCTAAGTTAGCTTTTTGAAGACCTAAACTGAACAGCAACTCGAGTCTTTTGGTTAGACCAAAAGCAATTTTCTATAAAATCTGTGTGACAAAGCAAAAAAGCGAGCTCGATATGCGAGCCGCGAGTTGGGTGAACGGCAGCACGAGAGAAAAGAGACTTGCTTACTTGTTTATACCCCGGAGGATTTTCTCCATAAGTTACTATACGGGGCCGGGAGGCTCCGCCTGAAAGCGGTGCCTTTTCCAGGCCTCAGGTGTATGAAAGGTCAGGGATTTCACGGATTGAAGTATGTGAAAGGGTGGGGAAATCTGTCATTTAGGTATTTGAAAGATACTTTTGTTAAAATATATTGAAAAGGTTCACCTCATGCCCGTATCCTTTTAGTTTAATTATTTCTGCCGTAGTATACTTCATTAGGGAGCTTAAGCATCAACGATGGCGACCGCTACGAAAAGGTCACTTAAAATGTAAATTCTCGCTGCTTCAAACTTTACCGCGCTTATTCCATCTCGTTTAATTCGTCAAATGTCGGCAAAGTTTTTTGGAGTTAAATTCTAAAGGACTGTTATTTAAAGTTCAAAACAAGGAAAAGGAAGTTGTTGTCTTGTGTTCCTGTCCTCGACAAAACGTGAAATAAGTCACTTTCACGTTGTAGTCGTGCAACGACGGCAAAGAAATGTACAAAAAAAGCGTGATGCACGTGCAAAGTTGTTGTTTTGCTAATCTAAACCTATTGCTTTTTTGCCGTTCTCTTTGCTGAAGGGGAACCATTTGGAAATGGAAAGTATAGGGAAGGGTTACTTTTTTTTGTCAAAAATGGCATTTTTTAAAAAAATTAGGGATTGGACATCGGGTCTGCGCCTCTCCGTACGAAACTTTCTTGAGCCCCCCCGCCCCCCTCCATCGGGGATTATGTTGCGTCTGACTGAAGTTCTTTGTTTCTGTACAGACTATTTCCCAGAACTAGCGCGACAAAAGCGTCTGTTAGACCGAAAACACCAGGACCGACGACGAAACTATTGGAACAAAGTGCCGCGCCGAGAGAGGGAGAAGGACGAGCAAGACAAAGACACGGAAATTCAACCTCGGTGGGAGGAGATGGAAACTTTTGAGGTGCAAGAGCGAAGGAATGTAGGAGAAAAGGAAAATATGAATGTTGACCAGGAAAGAGAAAATTGGGAAATGGAAAATGAGAGAACCGGTCAGGAAAGAGAAAACTGGGAAATGGAAAATGAGAGCACCGGGGTCCTTTCTCTTTTGACCCTTTACCTTTTACTCTCGTGGCCGGTCCTTTCTCTTTTGACCCTTTACCTTGATGTGAACCTTCAGGAAAGAGAAACCTGGGAGAAGAACGACGGGAATGCCTGTGGAACAACAGAGAATCGGGAAACGGAATGTAGCGATCACACGTTGAGATGGGATTTGTGCCATGGACGAGCGAACGTAGAGGAAGAACCAAAGGGCACAACGGAAGAGTGGGAAAGGGAAGGTGGAAATATTTTGGAAAGATGGGACGGAAGTGGAGGCCAAAATGTGGTGAGAGAGAATTTGAGAGATGTAAACGTTGATTCAAAAGTGAATTTGGATGAGGAAGGTAGAAATAAGATGGATAGCGAAAAGGGCGAGAATGATTGGACAGAGAACTGGGAGGTCGAAAATACCGTTTCAGAAGAAAACTGGGAAGAAACGGACGGCGGCGAAAGAAAGAATTGGGAAGAAGCTGGGATCGAAAGTTCGAAGGAACGGTGCGTTAAAGATGGAACTATTGAACATAACATGATAAACAGTATGAAGGAGAAGGCTAAAAATGAGCACGGCGAGACAAAGGAACTCTGGGTAGTTGATTAATTGTTTTTGATTCGTAACGTTACTAAGGGAGTGCTGCGTGACGGTGATGTCATATGAAATTGAGCTGAGTGTCGTTTGCAGTCATTTCTGTAGTGCAATTATGGCGTGACAGGTTGAAGAGCGTGTCGATTTTTGCCCTCCAGAGAAGACCAGCAATTGTCGTCGTTAATTTTTAATCCTTGAATCAAAAAGTCAAGAAGACTTTAAAAATAAGAATGAGAGAAATTAAGAATTTATGATTTGTAGTCATTTTAGTGTTTTGCAGTTCGGCATCATTTTTTACGTCATATTCCACCCATACGCTCTCTCCTTTATCAGGAATTTATTTATGAACACATCATCAATCCATCGAAAATGTAAATTAAACTGTACAGTTTCAGGAAATAAATCAGACAACTCTTTTTTATTGATGTCGTTGTTGGTTTGAATACCGGTTCTTGTATTAGCTGACTATCTGTTATTAGTAAAATCCAACTAGTAGTCTATTATCAATGCTGCGTTCTGATTGGTTGAGCTACTACTAGGCTATATGTTATAGCCCACCAGTAGCGAAAAGCGCGGGCTTTTTGGCGGCAAAAAAGGATTAACGTCTAGTTTTAACTAGCTAAAATTTTTTTATTCTCGATATTTTTGACCAACTAGTTGGATTTTACTAAAACAATTATTCCTCTCGCCCTCATGGCCTAAGAGTCAATAGCCCATTCGGCCTTAGGCCTCATGGGCTATTGACTCAGAGCCCTTTCGGGCTCGAGGAATAATTGTTAATTATCTGAGTTGTGATGTAACTGTTCAAAGAAAGGGAAAGGCGGAAAATACCATCCCCAAACGTAAATTTTGTTGAAGTCGAAGTTCTTAGCCCAAACATCAGTTCAAATCTCTTTTCCATCAACTGATCAATAAAATAATAATAAATAAATACGCATAATAACAAAACGAAAACGGAAATGCAATTTGTTTTTCAGTTCATAATCCATAGTAGGCTCTTTGCAGCTAGCCATTCACGTGGTACAAAACCGCCTTGCTGGAGAACAAAAGTCGCACTGGGACTGTATGCCTTTTGTTTTTTCTTGTCCCAGCGCGACTTTGCTCTCCAGTATGGCGGTTTTGTACCTCGTGAATTGCTAGCTGCAAAGGGCCTATTTTTTGGGAGTAAAGCACCAAGTTGATGGGAAATTTAAAAATTTGAGTGTTTATCCACAACACCGCCGGAAGAAACACTTGGCAATGATCGTCTCCCGAATAAGTCATACCACAGAAGACGTAAAACAAAACAAAACAAAAACTAAAGCAAGTCAATAGAAGAGTGCACGGTTGTACCCATTTTTCACGAATTCCTACGCAATGTATATCCCCAAGGTTTAAAAACTTGCTTGTATAATCTCCTTCCTTCTGGAAATCTGGATTTGGTGCAAATTATTTTAACCACGATGTTTTGATTGTGGTCCATTAGTTTTCCATCAAATACTTCGAATGGGTAAATATTTGAGCACGTTTTTCAAACAACAAACAACAACAAATCCCATTTTTGATCATTTTTCGAAATCCAGCGCCAGCTCGATGTCCATGGGGGTGGGTACGTGTTCTACCAAAATATCGAAATGCATTATGGGTGTTAGGCTTCAGGGAAAATATGGCGGACGATGTGCAGGTTTTCGATGGTTCCTGATCAAGAACAACTGTTTACTGCCTGAAAACAGCGAAAAGTTATCCTCTTGCTATTCTTGAATCGTGGGGGAAAAAGTTCTGTTTTTTTGCTGCTCAAATTTTTCTTCAAACTGGCCACTGCCTTTATTTAAAACTGATCTATTCTAGAAGTTCTAATATCAAATCGATAGCTTGTATCATATGCCGGAACAATGTGAAGAACACGAGAGGGCACCGCTTTGTTTGATGAACGTTTTGAGGAATTTGTTTGCAATAGAATACTGGATAATACCGTTTCTTTACTGAAGGAGATAATCAGCTGTTTGGATCACGCAAGAGAACAAGGTGCTCTTTGCAATTTCTGTTCTGTTGATCCGGACAGCGATCACGTCGATACATGCCCTACAAAGTATCCTCTCTGGAGGTGTTCAGTTCGTGGTTCAAGTTCACAAGAAAATGCCGCCTTGTCCTCATTTGAATTCTCTCGAAGAAATTAACGTGGAGGAGATCAAGAGGAAAATGAGTGATGCACATGTAAGTTGATTAATTTTATGCTTAGTCATTTTGACAATGGAACATCAATTGATAAAAGCATATCCATTGCTGTGAATTCGCTGTATGGTGAAACAAATTAACGAAATAATAGTAACGCCTTGGCTAATTCCTCTGTCATAGATAGATTTGTAAGTGATTGTTTTGATTTAATTATGTTTTTTTTGGTTACAAAACCTTACGCTATTTGTCAGTTTTAAGGTAATTAAAAATATTGTTAGTGTTTGCAGGCTTTTCTTATCTCCCTACAAAGTAAACTTAATTTGTTATAAACTATTCGTGATCTAAATGTTGCTTGCTACAGGCGAACACAGCTGGGTTTCATAATTTGTAGTTGTAGTACATGGAAAGCCTGATTTTCTTTCAAAGATACAGAAGTGTGTATATATAAAATTAAAAATATAAATATTTTAATGCTTGAATATTTGTTTGAAAGGCCAGGAAGGCACACTCAGTGTTTTAAGGCATTGCCAAAGATTAAGTTGTTCTTGTAATTTGCATTGGTCTTTTCTAAAGATTGAGAGACAAAAGTTTATATGTGAGGTTTGTAGTAGCGTTACAGCAAACATTCACAGGCACGTTGCAGCCACGTTAATGATTTATATTGTTTATGCCATATATATTTTTATTGAATGTGCCATGTTGCATATCAAGAAATAATATTATTTTTCCAAACCAGATGAGAATCACCATACACTAAAGTATTTGCCATGGACTGATAATTATTTTTAAGTCACAAACTGCACCTGTCCTCATCGAAAACATTTTTTTGAAGCTTAGATATAGCTAAATTTATTCTCTTTGTGCTTACCATTCAGAAATTCCTTACTTATGAATTACTTCTTTTAATGGACAAATTTATTTCATGTGTCACTTCAAACTGAAATGAGAAAGGATACTTTGCTGTATTTTAACTCTTTCATTTTATAGCAAGTTATGACAGGGTGATTTATGGCTTTAATTTTGAAATGCGGGGATGTTCCATGTTGTTACCGTTCAAATGAAACCACTTTGGCAGAAATTTTGTGTGCTACTAATCTTAGATTTTACAGAAAGAAAATTGAATTTTTTTGTTAATTTTTTTCCTTGGCATTTTCACCTTATTTTTCACTTTGCCATATTGTTATAAATTATATAAAAAAAATACAGACAATGTATGCTTCTCTCTTTCGAGAGCAGAGATGGCATAATGGTGAAAGCGCTTCCCTCCTGCTAGTAATAAGTTAATTGCCTATGGCATCAGCATCCTATTATATGTCATGTGGGTTTAGTTGTTTGTTCTTATTCTTGCTCTGAGATATATTTCACTGGACACTCCTGTTTCCATCTCTTCTAAAAAAATCAACACTTGCAAATTCCAATTCAATCTGTAACACTAGAAGACATTCAAAGTTGTTGAGTTCTTATTAAACAGCTCATGTTTCTTAGGTAAATGAATACGTTTCATGAAGTGAATACCTTTTGAAGGTTACACATGGCCGGTTGATGAAGGTCCTAGTAAAATTTTGGTTCTTTAAAGACCTGTAACAAAACCGTTTTTTTTTTAATGGGTGGTATCTAGTTTCTCGTTATAACACCCCCCCGCTTGATCAAAAAAAGATTTCACTATGCAAATGAATGCCTAAGATAAAAAGATACTGCTTAAATGAATAAAGGGGAAAACAAGAGTAAATCTGTACTTAAACATTGACAGTATCTGTTCTACAATCTTTGATGCCAATAGGTTCTTTACAACAAATGGCTTGTCATGGTAACCAGGCCTGTGGCCAATTTCTTGAAGGTTTCAATAATTACTAGGCCCAAAAGGCTGTTTTATGTTTGCCATGTTTACAGTCAAGATTGAGAGTTAAATAGTTTTAAAAATGATACAATAAAATTATCAGGTAAAGAAACATTAATTAGGGTGTAAAGAAAATCATTCTTGCAGCTTGCCATTTGGGCAAGCTGAAGCTAGCATTTACTAGCCCAGACATCATTTCATCTAGTCCCAAAAGCTTTTTGACAAGCAGAATTGACTTCACAGTTCTGTTGTTATTCGAATTCCTCAAAAAACATCACTGCCTGTTGGGCAAGGTAAACACAGAATGCACTAGCTCGATAGCAACATTCATTAGCTGTGGGCTATTGGACACTACTTTCTTTGCATGCTGCATTAATACACTGGTTAAGGGGCTATGGTAGAACTGACCCATCTTTGGTCTTGTAAAGTTACTGCAACTTTCAAAAAATGGGCCCCAGATCTTATTCATATTGGTCTTGTTACCTGGTACATAACACTCAAACGTCTGCTAAGGGACACCCACTTATTCAAGGTCTTAGCAAAATACAAATCATACATTTTTAACTTCCTGTTTTAAGTGAAAATTTCCTCTTGTCCCAAAGGCGCCATCTGAGGGGTCGGGAGGTTCGACTGGGCTGGCAGTGTGTAATGATATTTAAACCTTATAGCTGTTTTCTTACACTTGTTTACAAATGGAGGAATCTCCGAAGCAACTCACTTCAAATCTTGGTAGAAATTGAAGATACTGCGATTTGTTAACATAGTATACACACCAGTGAACCAACAAGTAATCTTATTGGTTTGCTTGGCAGGGGCACTGTGATCAATGTGAGAAGTCGGGATCAGACCTTTGGATTTGTTTAAAGGTGAGTGACAAACTGCTATGTATAGTGGAATTTATTTTAACCTAAAAATTCCTTTAAAATTCCTTTTACCATCCAAACACTGTAAACTTCTGATTTTTTATCTGAATTTCCATGTTTCTTGGAGGTTTGAAATACTGTGATTCCAACGTGGTTTAGTTAATTTTCCTCCAAGGTGTCTTGTGAGAATTTTATATGTATATGTATATTTTTATATTTTATATGTATAATTGGAGCTTTAAGCCTATCACAGGAGTAGAGCTCTCATGAGTTTCAAATTTGCTCAGGGAAGAAAAATATATATAATATTATGTTCTCTCAGGAGAAATTTTTTTATATACCGGTATGTCTTTTCTGTTAACAGAGGTGTCAGCAAAGAATACTGTCAGTTACACCCCTAATCATTACCAATCACTTTGTTTTGTTTTAATGTAATGTTTACTGGAAATATCTCATCCCTGCCAGCAACTGTCCATGTACTTTGGCTAGCGCAGACATCTTCAGAAGTTATTGAAACCCAAGTGTTCTTATTTTTTTTCTTTCAGAAGTGTTGCTCATTTGTAGGGTGTGGAAGATTTGGGAATAATCACATTGAGCTTCACAGTCAGGTATACTGTCTTAGGTTGTTCCCTCTTAGATGTCTTTACTGCAACAATTAAAAAAAGAGACTTTCAGTTTTATTGCTCATTTGCATTGGTGTTATCAAATTTCAAAATAAAAATGATCAGTCTTTGTGTGGTTGTAGCTTCATACTTATTTTTATAGTCATTTCAGTTTTATAAAGCTCTTTGTTTTGTAACAAAGAACTTTTAAATATCCATGCATTTGTATCATGCCAGATTAAATGTTACTGAGAGTAGTTTCAAGTTTTCAGTATATTATGAATGGTTCTCATGTTGTAATAAGTATAATAATTTTATATAGATTGAGCATAGGCTAAAAGCGAAGCTCCCATTGAGAAATTTATAACTTACTTCAAGCCGTAAACTTGTAACCATTGAAAGAAATCCACTTGGAGTTGGTCCTGCCATCAGTTGAAAAACTAGTAACTTGTCAGCAGGTAACTTCAAAAAAACATATTAATTTTATAACCTCCATGTGTTGACACCTGAGCCAATGCACGGACAGTCAAACATGTGCACGGTCATGCAACGACCAAAATTTCTTGGATGGATAGAGAACCAAATTTTCTTATCTATGGGGCTCTGCTTGGACACGCTTTCCTCTGCTAATATGTTACTGGCTCTTGGATGATGGCTATTTGCTTTCACTAGAAACTGGGTAATCCAAGTTTGTGATAAATAATATGGCTAAAACATTTGTCTGAGTATCTCATATGTAAAACCCAGCCATTCCTAAATCTTGGCCAGACTGTATGCAGTTTTTGCAGAAAACAGTGTATCGTCTAACAGATTCTTGATTAAGGGTGATTTCAATTTCTGCTTTTGATAGTGTGACGGTGAATACAGGCATTGGTAGTGTCTATTGTCAGTAACACTATAACAGTAGAACAGAAGCTATTATTTTTTGATAAGTGGAAGATAGGTAAAATATTTTAGTGAAATCAATCTTTTTACTAACATATCATGGTACTTCTTAGTTTGACTATTTCTCTTGGATAATGCAAAAAAAATGATAGTTTTCTACTGAAATAACCTCTTGTTACATATAGTATTATTTTGACACTAAATTTCATTTTTGTTATGATAATTATTTCTCTATTTTTTTTTCAGGAATCAAAGCATCACTTGTGCTTACGACTTCAAGATTTCAGCATGTGGTGTTTTAGTTGCCATTCTGAGGTGCAGCCATCTGATGGATCATCAGGCTCAGCCAACAGTGAAGTCACTAGTTCTCCAAGGCCAAAGGTACATTTATCATCTCCTACTTAACAGTTAGGGGGCGCACTCAAAATTTCTGTCACCCGAGATAGATGATGGGGGATTGAATCACTTGATAAAATAACAATCAATAGTCAGTGGAAAAAAGTTTGTGAATTTTAACATAATTTTGGTCGATGGGTTATTATATGAGTGCTATTGTCAAGCAAGACATTACCTTTCTGTCTGTGATTGTTTTCACGATATTAATATTGTTCCCTAGGCTCATGAAGTCCTTGACATTGAAGATGCTCTTGAATTAGAAAAAGGTTTGAAACCAAGAGGTGAGATAGTAAATATTTTATTCTTATTTGTACCATGAACATTAACCCCATAAGCCCCAATATCTGCATACAAATTCTCCAAACTGACCTTTATACAGTTTGTTACTGCATTAGTTGGGAGAAAAACATCAGAGCATTAATTTTTGCTTTAGTGATCGTATTATCAATTCTCATAACCTTTTCTCTTGGTTTAGTATCAGTTATAATGTTAGAAGAAAATTGATGTTTGTCACTCTTTGCATTTAAAGGGTCAAATGAAAGGATCCACTAGAAATAACCTCTCAAAATGTCGAGAATAAAGGCTCTTGCATTTTGGTTAAGATCATAATATAAGTAACCATGTCATAGTTCAGGCCAGGAAATATAATTGATGATCACACGCCCTGCACCTCAGATCTTGAGCCAGTAGCTTATGGAACAAAGATCATAAACAATTTTTTTTCTCCAAGAGCTGCACATTTACAGCACACACAGATGCCCATCTTGCTTAAACATTGCAGAGTCCATCATAGTAGCTAATACAGGCACTGTATTAACAAAAGAAATTTTATTTTAGGATTGTGTGGCTTAGCAAACATTGGAAATACATGTTACATGAATGCTGCCCTGCAGGCTCTATCAAACTGGTAACTATATCATCTTACAAAACTCAACCATGAAGTTTTTTACTTTTGGATTGATGGCCTTAGAGTAACGATAACCAAAAAGATATGAAAAATGAGTATGGCATTATTTTTGTTATATGTATGAAAAGCTTTTATAAAGGCTGAGTGTAAATGGACACAAGCAAGTATTGCACTGTCATGTGCTCTGCTAAATTGACGTATCTCCCAAATTAGGAATTAATCATTATAATCATGTTGTCTTGTATTGAGCCCAAGTTCTTGTATTGGACACGTCATGCCTGTCAGATTGACAAGATGATGTGCTCACTGACAAGCAGACAAGCTGTTATGGTGACAGGTTGCTGTAAAGCTAAGACCTGCGGTTTCATTAAGGTTTTGACCAGGAGACCAATTGGGTTTGACACCCAGGCAAAGAATTGGCAAGGCCCTTGTGCCCCTAGGGGAGTCCGAGGGCTGAAATTCTGTAGGGCAGAGATGAGTTTTCCTGCATTCTGAAGCTACAGACAATGTCTTTCAACTACCAAAATCATGAATTGCAAACTGGCAGGCTAAAACTTCTGTAAAGCTGGTCCAACCAAATCGATTTAGTAAAGTCTTAAGACATGGACACTTATAATTATTGAAAATCTCCGTAAATACTATTTGATAGTCAAACAGCTTATTATCAGTGTTCTATACAGCAAGCATTTTGGTGATGCCCTGCTGACAGCTTTATTATTGTACTTCAATTTCAGCCCACCCCTTACACAGTATTTCTTGGAATGTGGCAGTTTTGCAAAAGAAACCAAGAACACTGCTGTCTCTAGAAACTATTTGTCTTTAATCAATGAATTATGGTCTAGGAAAAGGTGTAGTATGAACTTGTTGTTGTTTTTTTAACCCCTATACTCAACGGATTGACTGTGATCAGGGCTGTGATAGGGAGTTCAAGCAATGATGACGGCAACGTCAGTGAAAATGGCGAAAAAAAGCAATAGGTTAAGATTAGCAAAACAATGACTCTGCATGTGCGTGACATATTTTTGTACATTTTTTTGCCATCGACCAAGACGTGAAAATGCCTAATTTCACATGTGTGGAGGACATGAACACAAGACCATGACTTTCCTTTTCTTTTCCTGAACTTGGATACGGTGTTTTAAAATTCAACTCCAGAAAGAATTACCAACATTTGACGAACTGAACGAGATAGAATAAGCACAATAAGATTTGAAGTACTGAGATTTCACTGTGTAAGTGACATTTTCATCGTTGTCGCCATCATTGTTACATAAGCTCCCTATTAAGGGCTGATTGGGGGGGAGGGGAGATTTCCCCTGGCTACTATGAACATGACCTGTAGCTAATTTCACAGGTGAATAGAATCAAAATAAAACCAAAAGAAATCCCTAACTGTTTGATTTCCTGCCTACTCGATGCATTTACCTGGCAACTTATAATCTTAGTGACATGATTCCCTGCTATGATGCCACTGGTAAATTTTCCAAAATCCAAAAGGTTTGTCATCTGAATGTAGTCAAATAATTTAGCCCTCAGAATTTGGTCTGCTTTTCTACATACATGTTCCATATCCATGCATAACTCATTTTTTTGTTTTCAGACCAAAGTATGTTGTACCTTCTCAGCTGCTGCGTAGTGTAAGACTTGTCAACCCACAGTTCAGAGGTTATGGGCAACAGGTGTGTCAATTGATTTTCAGATAATAATTTTATGCCCTAATTTATCTTTCACACTGGTTTCAAGTTCACAGTGTACAAAAAGTTTCCAGGAAGTTGGGTTGGTAAGTAAATAGATTGATAATTCTTAAATGTGATTGTTGCTGTAAAGCCCCATTAGGGAGGAGACAGTTAAGTTAATATGCAATGGAGCATGTCTAATTTTTGGAAGTCCTGTTTTCCCAGTTCAATGAACTCCAAAAAGAAGTTTGTGTCCCTTTGTTTTCTTCATTGTTATCTTTGGTTTACAGTTTGAGACATTTATGGCCATATTTTGGGAATGGGAGTGTTTTGTGCAAAATGGTAAAAGCGTGTTTCATGCTTAAAGGAAGAAGTGTGTTGTCAGGAGCAGCCTGGTGCCTTTGGAGCACAGCCCAGAGAAAGGTCATATCCTCATCGTAACAAACATGAAACACATAAATAACAATAATTGTTAACAATAATAAATATCATTTTTCATTTGCTTATCACTTCATCTCATCAGAGTTCCACTGTGCTCATTTAGAGCAACTGTTAACCAATTTTGAGCTGAGAATCACTGTTTTATCATTTTGCATTACCATTTTAGGATGCTCAGGAGTTTTTACGTTGCATTATGGATCAGTTACATGAGGAGCTGAAGCAGCCTCTGCCACCTCTTGCAGAAGACTCAGCGTCGTCAGAGAGCGATGATGATGAACCAAACCATCACAATAAGAGACTGCTAGGAGGAACAAGTTTGTCATATGATGAGAATGTACACAAAGGTATTGTTGTAACCTCTGGTATCCTGACCAGCGGGTTTACTCCCTTGCTTTTTTAGGAGCATGCGTACGGGGCCTCATCATTGGTGTGCATGAGGCGACCGTGAAATAACTTCAAGTTTCTCTCAAGTTTTTTCCAAGTTCTCAAGTGTTTTTGTAAGCCATTTGTTTCAGTTTTTTTTCTCGTGCTATGGATTTCTAAGGGGCATATGTGGTGATCGTTTTGTAAGATACTTATGAGTCATTCAGCTTCCTGTATGATTAAACATTTTGTTGCTTTTATTGTCACAAATATCATGTACCACCATTCGCTGTTACAATTATTGTAATATAGTTGAAACCTTGCTAATGGGTTTTTCTGTTCGCGCACACCTCATTTCAGTGAGCATTTACTTAACCCTTTAGGTCCCAAGAGTGGCCAACATCAAAATATTGTCACTTTCTTGTCCCAAGGGTTTCTGCTTACATGGGGCTGGGCGGTTACCCTCTATCAAGGCTGTGCTCTAGCAGAACCCAGTGGCCCCTGGCACCCAACTTTTGCACAGCCTTGCTCTATATTGTCAATACAAATCAGTATAATAATACAAATATAATAATTATTGTATTTGTCACAAAACAACTGGCATGGTCTTCTAGAAATTTTGATAAGAAAATAAAAGTTTCTCATGTGTAGGGTAATTTATATTATCAATATTTTATTTTAATTTAACAACCTCAGTTTCAATTTGATTTTCCTTGTCTTAGTAGATGATGATGTAGAGATGTACTCTGACAGTGGAGAAGACACTGCGGATGATAAACCACTTCATACAAATTCAACCAAAGAACAAGTTTGCCAAGAAGAGCAACACAAAACAAGCAATGCCAGACAAATGAAAACAAGTCATGATGCTGTTAATCTGAGTGATATAACAGTGTCAGTTGAAGATGAGTGCATGAGTGAAGGTGAAAGTGAGCAGGTTGATGAGGATATGGATGCTGATGACAGTGCATTATTGAGGGAAGAGAAACCTGTTGAACAAGGCAAAAAGGAGAAGCTAACGCCCACTGCCCACTCTCAGCCTTGCCAGGCTGAACAACCCAGAAAGAAGCCAAGAAAAGAGACAAGTAAATATAATAAAAATATTATTATTTTTTTATGTATTATATTTATTTAACTGTAATTCATCCAACATGGCAGATATTTGAAAATCCTCACTAGCAGGAAACAAACTGGGTAGTTATTCATATTAATTTTGACATGATAATTAATCATAAGTGATTATAGTCCTTTACAAAACGTGATTTGCTGCGCCGTCCCTTCGCAAAACTACTAAATATCAAGGTAGCTTCAGAATAAACTGTGCTCGGACCTACAACACCCTACCGAGAATCATTAGGCACGTAGAGACTCACAACAAAGTTAAAATCAAGCTAAAGCGCCATTTTAAACAGTAATGCCTGCAGTTTATGTTCCCTTTGTAACTTGATTAATTTTCTAGTTTTAATGTTTTATTGTCTGTGTTTTTGTGTTGTGTCAGGGCTCCAGTTAAACTAGCTCTGCTAAATTGGATGCCCCTGGATAAATATTGATCTAAAAAACGGCAATAACAGTATTACAGCATCTAAGATGTGGAAATGAATCCCTAACTGTCAAAAGTTTTGATATTCAAGGTAATTGCCCTGTTCTTTTTCCTAGGTGAGAAAAAGAAGGTGCCAGTGAACTACAGCAGCATAGTAACAGATTTATTTGATGGCACAATTCAGAGCTCAGTGCAGTGTTTAACATGCCACAGGGTAACCAACATTATCTTTAAATAATATAACTAAAGGGGTCTTTACATGAAAAAACTCTCACTAGTACAAATTCCATTCTGGAATGACCACTTAATTTCATATCTGGTTTACATGTTTCATCTCTAGTGTGACATAACCAGCTTGGATTGACAAAAAAATACACATCCTGTTCCAATCCATGGGGAGGCCAATTTTATACCAAAATGAGTGGTTATTCTCTGTTTACTATAATAATTATTAACACTGTTGGAAGATTTAGCACTAGAGTGAATTCTTGCCACAGTACAGGAATTGAGGTGAACCCACACCAATTTGACTTATTCAGGTATTTTTCTGGTGGTGTCATGACTTGTAATCACATACAGAGCCACAAGAGGGAACTAGGGTTAACTATGTCTACTGTTGTGCTTAAAAAAGTCAATATTTTTCATTTACAAAATGAAGGTTTCTTCAAGAGCAGAAACGTTTCAGGATGTGTCTCTGCCAATTCCAGGTAAGAATGATATTTATTCGTAGTTAACTAAATGTACTTTGGTCAAATCTCTACTATCAGCCACCTCTTTATGACAATCATTTGTCTCTGTTGCACATTTTGTGTCACAGAACTTAAAACTGCTCAAAAGGTTGTTTTGTACATTAATTCATTCCAATCGATTCCATTCCTGTAAATATTTTTTTCTTGTGCTCATTTGTGCTGCATGCGTTTACTATACATTGTAAAACCATGTATTTTACCAGTAGGTAATTATGAGGTTGTATAGAACCAGGAGGACATGAACTTGTACTCATGGTCTATGGTCAATGCTAAAACGTTCTATTTTCTGTTGAATCTGCATTTCAACATTATTCTTCAGCATTTGAAAGTCTGAGAAACTTAAATCCTCTATTGGAGCATTTCTCAAGGGCTTCATTAAAATTTGAAGTAGACAGCTACCAGTAGTTTGATACAGGTAACCTTCTGTATCAGCAAAGAATCTTTCTTTAATATTACTTCGATGAAGGGAAAAAGTAGCGCACTTTTCTGAGGAAAGTAGCCAGTGCTTCTGATTGGCCATAAAAAATAGACTTTGAGAGTCCTATTTTGAGGACACTAGTGGAAATAGGAATACCATGTTGTGTGGTCATCTGAGCCGCATGAAGGCGTCTCCAAGGCAAAGGAAGTACATGTATTGTACCTTCATTTCTCAGTTATTTTAAAACCCTGAATAGTTGTCCAGTCCTGGGAATTGAACCCTTGATCTCCTACTTTGCAATTAAGCTCTATACCAACTGAGTAAATTTTGTTGTACTGAAGAGTTACTTAATTCTGTTACTGATTTCATGCCTGTATTATTCCACTGTCAGGCAAGGATGAGTTGACTGTCCTTCATGCATCTCAGTGTACTCCACTTGCATCATGTTCATCTGCGATGGATGTGGAACGAGACAAAGGCTGGATAGCGTCTATATTTGAATGGCTAAGAAGGTACTATGGGAAAAATCCTTAAGATTCTTAGTTATTTGAATGACAGGATGTGTAAACTTATATCACTGACTGTTAAAATTTATTACTTATTGTATCTTGACAGGTGGTTTCTGGGTCCTCAGGTTACACTTCAGGATTGCCTCTCAGCTTTCTTCTCTGCTGATGAACTTAAAGGTACTTCATACAGTATTATGAAAAGGTAGAAATACGGATATTTTATTACCAGGATTATTTTATCATCATATTCCTCTCACAGTCCCGGTGACACGTAGGGTGCAAACAATATTTTTCCATTCTGGCTTGCTTTTGCCTAACTGAATATCAGTCCAGCTCTTCCTTTCAAATTGAGTCTTTCTCGTCAAGAAGGGTTTGGCTTGGCCCTTCCTCGGACCCCAAAATTGTTCAATTTCTTGCTTGCATTTCTGTAACCATTTCTGGTTTTACAAGAGTGGGTGGTTAACTTCAAACTTCAATCCCCAACCTTGAGGGCTAGGGGCTGTTCTTTTTCTGGTCTCTATCCCTCAACCAATCTTTTATATATTTAAACCTGCAAGGGGCTGGAGTTTAAGCCGGCATAGCCCTTGTGGTCACTGGGACATGCTAACCTCTCCACTGCAGCAAAGTGCCAGCCCATAGTGAACAAGCTTTATTTATTTATTAAAACGTTAAATTTTTTAAAATGACTTATTCCCTTTTGATTACTGTTGTCTTTTCTTTTGGTTTGTTCTTCAGGGGACAATATGTACAGCTGTGAAAAGTGCAAAAAGTAAGCCGCTGCTTTATTTTCTTTGATGTTTCAGTGAGAAACTATTCCTTTTGTCTTTTGAATTTTTTTTTTGCTTAAATGTTGAAACTTGTCATTGATTTTAGGTTAAGAAATGGCATCAAGCTTTGTAAAGTGATGCACCTTCCTGAGGTAAGTTGACTCCCTATTTTATAGTTTGATCCTATGAATCTAACACTATGTTGTACTTTGGTGAATATCAATGTCAGCACACCTGATGTTGCTGGTGTTACAGTAGTGCTACGTAATGTGAAAAAAAAATTAAGTGGCATCTTTTTGTATGTAACACTCACCCAGAAGCAAAGTCATTTAGTTCTTACAACTCATTTTCCAGCAAATTTGTTCACTTTTTCTCTTTCTAGATTTTGTGCATCCACTTGAAGCGGTTTAAGCATGAAATGTACTTCTCTTCCAAAATCAATCACCTCATTTCTTTTCCTCTGACTGGATTGGACATGAGGCCCTTCATGGTAAAAGGTGTGAAATATCATTAAACAAATTCTGTGTAATTTAGAGCTGCAGGTCAAAGTAGTATAGAAAAAGTAATCATTAAACAAAGTAAGGGAGCGTGGGTGAGATCAATCTTATTGAAGGTCAAAACACTCTTGCTGCAACACTGCTTTGTGTATTAAGTTTCATGTGACAGAAGGTCACAAACACGTGATCAGATTAGGAATGACAGAAGGTCCAAATGTGCGTGATCAGATTGTGTTCTGTGTATTCTGTTCAATCTTAATGGAAGTCTAAATAAATGCTGGCTACATACATGCCACACATGCATAACAGCAACCTAGATATTAGGATTGCCGGCTTTTCTTGTCGGCCGTAACAGTAGATGCAGGAAGTATTGGTAGATGTTAGTGTTGTATAAGTTGACAGTGGGTTTGAGTGTGTTTTGGGTAGAAGTAAAAGGCTGAGGATGAGGGTTGTGGGTAGTATTTTTTTTTTACTCCATGTATGTTCAGTATGAGTAGAGAGTATGTTTATTCCTATCACTGTGGAAACAAATAAATCTGATATGTTAAAATGTACTATATCATACTGTTCAGATTTTAACAGATTGGAGCCAATGCAAAAATGTACAACTTATGATCTTGTCGCTGTTATTACTCATCATGGAAGTGTTGGAGGTAAAATTAATTTGTTTTTATCGGTTTACGTCAACTCTGTCTAAAATGGACACCTTTGGGACCAGAACTTAGTGTCGGTCTTGCAGAGATGTCCATCAGTTATAGAAAGTCAAATAAAGGGAGTAAAGAAAGGCAAGGACCAACTCTAGGTGTCCGTTTCAGTAAGGTGTCTTATAGAGGTCTCCTTTAAGAGAGATTCAACTTATATTAAATATGTTTAAGTAGTTATGGATTTTATGATATAAAAATTCTTTTAAGTTGGTACAAGTATGCTTAATAAAGGCACAAAGAGAATCAAACTTTGAGGATCAGAGGCAAAGAAATATTCATTTTCATAAACTACAAGCATTAGGCATGACATTTTTTATCACACTATTCCTTGTAGCTGGTCATTATGTGTCTTTTGCCAAGAACTACGTCAATGGAAAGTGGTATGAGTTTAATGACTCTTGGGTCAGTGAAGGTAAGCATACAAATACTGCATAACCAGCTATATGTATTTGTATTATTAGAGAGCTTTAGATTCTGAGACGAGGACGACTAGGAGTACGAGATTTTCTCAACACTGAGTATTGCTCGCGTGTGAGCTAGAGTCATTTTGGCGGGAAAAAGTAATAGCCGTTGGCATTCTACTACGAGTTTTAGCGAGAATGTCGTAGTGGCGAGGACAGGTTATCAAATGTAAGAAGTTTTATCATTTTGCTTTCGGAAGAGGGCTTAACCTCCTTCAGTATAAATACCTGTACTTACTTTTTTCCACGTATAGTAGTTGGTAGACTTGCCTACGAGTCGAGCTCAAATATTTTCGCAAGCGTGAAGCGCGAACGGTAGATTTTTTATGTTTTCTGTGGCAAAAGCAAGCGAGAGAGCTAACTACCGGAACCGGAAATGAGAAGCGAAGGACTTTGAGAAAGTCTAAGTAGTTGGTTTTCCTTTGGTGGTTTGAGAGAGAAAAGAAATTTTAAACTGATGGTTTGCTTGTGAGCATATGATGGGAAGTTAATTTGAGGAAAGATCACAGCTGGTTCCCATTTGATCTCGTTACATGTTAGTGAAATTATCAAACTTCGGCATGTTTGCCTATTTGAATATCGCTACTTTAGAAATTTTTAACATTTTCGTAATTGTTGATCAGCGTTTTGTGTTTCCCTCCAGTGTCTGATTCATACGTGTCTGATGTAGAAGCGTACGTGTTATTCTACAGGTCAGTTTCTGGGAGTTTACATCTTACCGGGATTTTTATAACGTTATCGCCGAATGGACCTTTTGCGTCGAACAGTTTTTTTCGGTCAAAAACTATTCTACAAAGTAGCTATTATAAAAACTAAGAGTACAACCATTGCTTTTTTCCCTTCTCCTCCTTTCGTTCTCCTCGCTCTTTCTTTTTCTCCTTTCCTTTTCCTTTGTTACTGTGATTTTGGAGCTTCTCGGGCTAAGCTAAGAAACATGCTTTTTGGCTCCTTCTTACTCAAATGACTGCAAATTTCTCTAGGTTGGTTTTCAAAAAATCGGCTAGACATACATAGAAGTGATTAATCCAACAATTTCATTCCTTAGCATAACTAAAAACATTTATCACCTAATACATTAGCTTGTTAAAATTAATTTGAAGGTGTTGTGTGTTTACTCTGTACTCAAAATTGATCTTGTGTTCACACAATTCCAACTTTGAAGATGAATACTACTTCCTGGTTGGCAACCAAATTGCTATATGTTCTGCGAGAAAACATCAATTATTTGTTACTTGTAATTATTTCAACCTGGTTTATTTTTTTAAAAATAGAAAATCAAGCGGTGAAGCTACCAAAGAACGTCAAAGATTTTTCAATTTGCTGAAAGATTCACAGGTGAAGTGTAGAATATTTGTCATGTTTCTCTTTGATCTCCTAACCAATCCGACCTTTACTTAGCCTGACAAAAACAGCCGAGTTTTCGCGATGCCAGCAACGGTTTCCGCGCGAAATGACGTCTGAGAAACGAGCGCAGGAATTCCTTACTGATGACGTGTCACTACCCAGACCTGGATAGTGCTTCTGATTGGTAGAAGCAAATTTCCCTCGCGGCACGTCCAACCAGAAGCACTACTTAGATCTGTGACACGTCATCAGTATGGAATTTCTGTGTTCTTCTGACGTCACGTCGCGGGGAAACCAGTGGTTGCGTCGTGAAATGTCGCCTGTTTCCTCAAGCTATCCTTTACTAAGACTCTCTTGTTACATTTTAGGACAGTGAATCGAGGCATTTTGTGTCCAAGAAATGGCTGACAAAGTTCCAGTCTTGCATGGAGCCAGGTAATTCTGATCAGCTGGGCTTTTTACACTCGAACCGCCACTAACGGCCACCTCCCTATCATTATTAGGCTGATTTACCAGCAGAACGGGAACGTCAGTTGACGACGGCGCGCGCAAATCAAACAACTGGCTTGACCAATGGCAGAGCGACAAATTGGACACCGGAAGTCGAGTTTAGTCATTTTCGCGCGCTTTTCCGTCGTGAAATGACGTTCGCGTTCTGTTGCTAAATCAGCCTAATGACCACCTGTCTGCAACGGCCACTGTTTTTGTCGGTAAGTCCATACATTGACTTTTGTTTAAACATCTCTACACAGACCACTTTCTTCTGTCCCCAAGGTGGCTGTTGTGAAGAGGTTCAACTGTTTAATGGGTCACTACATCGCCATATGCCGGTCAAGAAATTGCATGAACATTGCATTTTTTAAAATGTCCAACAGTAGTGTACATATTTTAAGTAACGTAAACTGTTCCGTGAATTTGCAATGGCCAAAAAATTTGGTATTTGTTCTTGCTTAACACTTTTTATCATGACCTCTTTCACAGGTCCAATTACAAACACAGACTTCATGTGTGCCCACGGGGGTAAGTAATGAAAAACAAATGATTATTTGTGGTAAAGTTCTTAAAGTATACAACACTTCGTTGTTTAGCTTTATCGTTTTTCGATGTTTGCCAGGTTAGTCAGTGTTGTGTTGAGTCGCTCTGTGGAGCTGTTTTAAGGGAGACATTTTGACTCAGTTTCCCGCGCAACTTTGTAATAGCCAATGAAGACACCGATAGCTTCCAATAAACAGTCCCGTATATAGAGCAATTACACTGTAATGATGAGACTTTGATACATTCTCACAGCTATTCATCCACATAATATGGAAAGAATTCATGAAAGAACTGTTCCTCTTCCTGAATCAGTTTGGAGACATCTCCAGGCCAGGTGAGTACAATAATTGTCTAGAGAGAGGTGGTCTTTTCGTACGTCATCAGAATTCTATTCTGTGTTTTCACTCACGTGGCCAGCATCTATGCAAATTTATTGGAACAAAGGAAATTGTTTACATAAGAAAAGAGTTCAACTCCCACAGGACTGGTTTGGGACACAAATATGGCCGCCATGTCGTCATGTGAAAACACACAATTTGTGTGTTCAGTACTCATGTGACTGATCGTGAAGCGTACTGAATGTGGATGTTGCGAGAAAGGGAAGACCGCAGTCTAACTGCAGCTTCGACTGAGCATTTCTTACCATCATTAGCCACAATTTTGTTCATCTACTCACTGATGATTTTGTGTGTAGGTTTGGAGGAGGTCCTTCGGCTACAACTTTGAGCATGTGTGCACATTGCAAGGTATAAAAATTTCAAAGTTCATGTTCTCTCTTAAGCTGTCGAATAGAATAATGAATAATGCCCTGGAGCAAGATGCTT